TGGCTTCCTAGCGAAATCTTTTTGTTGTTGCTTTTTGAGACAGGATCTCTGTATGTAACCTTGGCTGTCCTGAAACTTGTTATGTAGATCAGGTTGGCTTCAAACTCATCGACCCTCCTGTCTTTGGAGTCCTAGATTAGTGAAGTCTTAATCTCTACCAGCATATGAGAAAGCAACACTGAGTTCAACGTCATTGGCCAGAACACAAGAATGGGAAACACCTCTCCTGCTCTCGGTCCCATCGTTCACTCCTGATTTCTCTCTGACTCGATTTTCTGACTCCTTATGTGTGCTCCTTGCTACTGTTGTCAGAAAGTGTCTCACCATGCAGCGGTGTCCCGCCTCTGCCTCCCAAGTGCCACTACACCAGCTCCCTTCTGTCGACTACTTGAAGTGTATACCTTCTCATTTCCTCTTCCTGGGTACTCTCATTTGCTCTGGAGAGGTCTTTACTTTAATTTTATTTGTGCTTGAGTTTTGTTTTATTCAATACTAGGAATCACACCTAAGGGCTCACATATGCTAGGCAAGTACTTGGCTAAGATACACACCCACCTTTTTACTTTATCCTGAGACAGGTTCTTGCTACATAGTACTCACCGGCCTGGGCCTTACAGCCATCTGCCTGGTTTCTCAAGTGTTGAGATTACAGGCAGTGTGCCCAACTTGAATCTCATTTCAATTTTTTTTTTTCCTTTTCTTTTTGGTTTATCAAGGCAGCCCTGGCTGTCCTGGAACTTGCTTTGTAGACCAGAACAGCCTCAAACTCAGAGATCTGCCTGCATCTGCCTTCCAAGTGCTGGGATTAAAGGCATATGCCACCATTCCTGACCTTGATTCATGAACTGTTGTTTTTTTTTAACTGCTTATTCCAAACCTAAGCCTTACAACCAAGTTCTTGTACCTATCAGTTGGCTTACTAACTAGCTTGAGAAAGCATGGTGAAGTCCTGGACTTACTTTCAAACACTGGAAAAGCCTAATTATCTCATGCCTGAGACATCGGAACTCGTGTGTGTGTGTGTGTGTGTGTGTGTGTGTGTGTGGTGGAGGATTACTAAGGTTTGATCCCAAGGTCTCTTGTATTTCAGGCTAAGTGCTATCACTGACTTGTATCCCCAACTCATTTTGTGTACTCTCCATCCTGCTAAAGAGGGAACATAGATTGAATGAATAAGTACCCACCTTTTCTCAGCTTCCAGCCACACACACACACATTTTTAAGTTCAAAGCTAGGCATGTGGTGCATGCCTAGACTCCCAGAACTCAGGAGGCAAAGGCAGGCAGATCTCTGAGTTTCAGTCCAGCCTCGTCTACAAAGTGAGTACCAAGACAGCCAGAGCTATGAAGAGAAATCCTATCTCAAAAAAAAAAAAAAAAAAAAGTTCAACCAGGTACAATGGTAGATGCCTGTAATTATAATCACAGCTGGGAAATATATTCAGAAGCGTCATGAGTTCAAGGTCATTCTTGGCTACAAATCCAGTTTAAAGACCACCTGGGGAGCCAGGCATTGGTGGTGCAGGCTTTTAAATCCAGCACTGGGGTGGTAGAGACAGGCAGATCTCTGAGTTTGAGGCCAGCCTGGTCTACAGAGCCAGTTCCAAGACAGCCTCCAAAACAATACGGAGAAACCCTTTCTCGAAAAACCAAAAAAATAAAGACCACCTGGGATAAAAGAGACCTTGACTATAAAAGAGACCTATGCCAGGTATTGGTGGCACACACCTTTAATCCCAGCACTCACTCAGGGAGGCAGAGGCAGGCTGATCTCAGTGAGTTAGAGGCTAGCCTGGTCTACAGAGTCAGTTCCAGGACAGGGACAGTCAGGGCTACACAGAGAAACTGTCTCAAATAAATAAATTAATTAATTAAAAAGACCTTGACTCAAAACAAACAAACAAACAAAAGAAAAACTGTTTGGTACACTGGAAGGATAAAGATGTAAGAAACAGAGCTGCCTTCCTAGCCTCCTGCATTCTAAGAAGTTGTATCCCTGCAGGCTATACGCACCACTCTCTATAATACCAAGTAATCTACACCAAGGCAGCTTTCCTGTCTCCTTCACTCCATCTATTTTTAAGACAGGGTCTCATGGAGCCCAGGCTGGCTTCAAACTCAGTGAAGTTGCTAAAGGTGACCTTGAATTCCTCCTCTTCCTGCCTGTTTCCTCCCAGTGCTAGGACGACAGGTATATAACATCACACTCCACACACACCTATTTTACCAGACTCAGTTCAGCTGTCCCCTTCACCCTGGAAACCCTATGTGACCCTTCTCCATGCCAACACTCATCCTTTTATATTGACATTTAAGGCCAGGACATCACTGGTTTGTATGCCTTTTTCCTCTCATTACATTGTGTCTGTGAGGTGAAGAAACCTGGTTTTGTTGGTAGTTACTACAGCAGTCCAAGCTGGCCTAGAACTTGCTATCCTCCTGCCTAAGTCTCTAAGCTAGGAGGCCAGGGTGTGAACAACCACACCTGTCTAAGGTCTGTGTTGTATTCTGGGTTTTTTTTTTTTGTTTTTTGTTTTTTTTTGTTTTTTCGAGACAGGGTTTCTCTGTAGCTTTGGAGGCTGTCCTGGAACTCGCTCTGTAGACCAGGCTGGCCTCGAACTCACAGAGATCCGCCTGCCTCTGCCTCCCGAGTGCTGGGATTAAAGGCGTGCACCACCAACGCCTGGCTTGTTGTATTGTTTTATTCCTTGTGCCTAGTACAGGCAGTAGACATGTCTTACTGAACTGAATACACCAGTGGAAAAAAATCATTTCTTCTAAAGGAAAAATAATTCATACCTCACAAAACGGTAAATAAGTATACCAACGTCTGACAGAAACCATTTGGTTTCATGGCATATATAAATATACACTTAACATTGATAACCACTGAGACTAAAATCAGAAAGGGAAGACAAAAGGACTCCAATATGTTCCTTTCTATAATTATAAGCCTGACATATCAGCACTTTGAGGTTGAGTCAAGGCTGCCCCTAGTTCAAAGACACCCGAGGCATATAGTAAGTCCCAGATCAGAAAGTACTACATAGTGAGACCCTGTTTCAAACCCCTACCCTGCTCCTAATCTACACTGGGTAAAAAAACTAAAGATTGGATATGGATGACTATAAACTAAGTGATGGGTAAAGGTAATCGACACATGGATTGGGCTGGATTTAGTGACACCACCTATAGTCTCACATCCTGGAGATGAAGGTAGGATTGTAAATTTGAGGCCAGCCTAGGATACATAGCAAAACCCTGTCTCAAAAACAAAACAGGATGGGCATGTAGCTTAGTGGGTAGAGTGCTTGCCTACTGCGCTCGAAGCACTGGGTGTTATCGCCAGCACCACATGAACCAAGTACGGCTTTGGTGCCTATAACCTCAGCACTTAGGAGAGGCAGGAGGATCAGAAATTCAAGCTTCATCCTTGGTCATACATAAAGTCCAAGGTCATACTGGGATACATGAGACCCAGTCTTAAAAAAATAAAACAAAATAAATGACAGCCAGATGCGGTGGCACACGCATAAACTCTGCACTTGGGAGGCAAAAAAGGAGGATTGCTGTAAGTTCAAGCCAGCTTGGACTATAGATGTTGTCTCGAAACAAAATAAGCAATGGGCAAACTGGCAAAGTGGGATCCTCATGAGGCCAAATATATAATTAATCTCTAGAGCCTAGGTTTCCCCAATTCCTTCTCCACTCCCTTCTTGATTTAAGAGATCCAGCGAACTCTCAGCACTTCGACTCAGTTTTGATTCCCTGCAAAGAGCTGTCCTTGGGTTAAGACCAGGTAAGCGATTTCTAACACTCCCTTTCAGCCTTCAGAAAGGGGGGTGTAGTTCTTACCCCATGGCTCCCCACCCACAGCATCTCCTCATGTAAGTCAAAGTGGGAGACGGACACAGGCACTCCCACTTCAGCCACCACGCTGTGCAATTCAGAGTAGACACCTTCCATTATGTGCACTGATTCCTGGACGGGAAGAGCCTCCAAGGCCACTCCCTCGGGGTCCAGCTCCACATTCTGTAGCAGACTTGGGTTCAGGTGTGCATCCAGGACTGGATCCAGGGTAGAATGCATAGCTGGGGAAAATTCGGCCAGTCCAGGATCCAGACCCTCAAAGTTCATGACGATGGTGGCCGTCGGTCAGACCTGAGTCACACCCTCCCTTGCCACGATTCCTACAGACACCCGGCCCAGCCTTCAGCAGGGCAGCACCAGTGGGCCTACAATGGACATCCTGGCCTGCAAGGGAAAGAGGCACCTCGGTCAGGGGCGGGTCTTCTATGTGGGCAGGGCAATGAGGCAGGCAGACGGGATGAAACTGGGGGGGGAGGGGACATGCAGGAAGACCCGGGCAGTGCGGTAGGCTGGGGAGAACTGTGTCCTCTGAACTAAGTCCCTACCATCCCACCAAACGAGCTAACTCCTGACTTCCCTTCCTCACGGCCCACAAGGTGAAGGCAGCAGATACTACAGGGACTGGAGTTTGGCGGCGACGTCTAAGATGTTTTGTTTCCTAGACTTGGATGTTGAGGGCAAGGGGTTGGTTGGGGCAGTGAAGGGAGCAAGACAAGTCAGTTTCCCAGAATCCTTCACAGTGGTTACCCAGCATTCTCCAGGGGGAGGGTAACAAGAACGGCCAGTTACCCACAAACGGGGCGGGGGCGGCCCGGGGGGGAAGTAATGGGAACTGATGGCTACCCAGAATTCCTCGGGCGAGCCAGAGAAACTGGTTACCCAGAATTCTCCCCCAGCGCAGGGGACGGGAGAGGAAGGATTAGGGCAAAGGTCAGCCGTGTTCCTGGGATGCTTACGGGGGAATGGGTCATTACCAAGATTTCTCCATGGCGGATATTTTGGAGCGCGTGGAATTCAAACGAGTAGGGGGGGAGAGAAAGCGCCGTCAGCTCCGCGGGAAATTCCAGTTTCCCTACCACTCCCCCGCGCCTCTAGCTCAACCTAACCCCGGAGAGACGGGGCGGAGGATTGGCAGTCGTCGCCTCCAATCAGCAGGGGACCCGGGCTCATCTCAGCCAATCAGAAGGAGCCAAGTAACCGGCGGCGCCAGAGGGGGCGTATGACGCAGGAGGGCCGTCAAAGCAAGGTTACGGAATGCCGCCGGGGACAAACTGAGTCAGGCGCGGCGTTGTGAAAAGTAATCTCTTCAGTTGGGAGCCTCTTTAAACAAAGCGGACTTTAGACTGGGAAACCGAGCTTTTGCGCTCCCCGAATAGAAACTAGACCGAGGGGAGCTGGAGGCAAAGCACTGGGACTCGCCTGGTGGGTATTCCCGGCGCCGCCTGGCGAGCCCTTCATCCCGCTGGTGTCTGTGACCCTGCGCCCCCGAAACTCACTGGCATTTCCTATGACTTCTAGACATGGGAAAGAAAAAGGAAGCGGGAGCCTGACAGGAGGCTGGCCCAAGTGGTCACCTTTTCTGTATTTCTAAAGGCATCCATCTGAAATTCCCAGCCATGCTTGTTTCGTCCCCAGAGGCCCCCATGATTTTCCCAGGGAACAAGACTCCCAGACTGTTAACTTCCCCTAGACTGTGGAGTTAGACATTGTCCCTCAGAGGGAAACAAACAGCAAGTTGAGTCAGCTGAGACATAACTGTCAACAGCATTCTGAGAGATGCTTAGCTAGCCTCTCCCTCTTCTGTGGGAGGGTGTCGCCATGTCCAACTGCTTCTGGGCCTCAGCTGTGGGCTTAAACTGCTTTGGAATTGGTCCGGGATATGAGATGTCTCAGCACACTTAAAGCTCAGCTGTCGTTACTGGGGTTTTGCTTGGTTGGTTGGTTGGTTTTTCAAGACGGGGTTTCCCTGTGTAACAGCTCTGGCTGTTCTGGAGCTCACTCTGTAGACCAGACTGATCTCGAACTCACAGAGATCCACCTGCCTCTGCCTCCCAAGTGCTGGGATTTAAGGCGAGCGCCACCACCGCCAGCAATCCCTGAATTCTTAAGGCAGAGAGGCAAGAGGATCTCACAAATTCAAGGCCAGCCTAGGCTACATAGCAAAGACCAGGCCAACTATGGCTACACAGTGAATCCCTCTTTCAACAACAACAACAACAAAATAATATGAAGGCCAAATTGTGAGAGGACTATGGTCATCCTCACCAATAATAAACTTTTTTTTAAAGATTTTATTTCTTTATTACATATACAGTGTTCTACCAACATACCGGAATAGGGTACCAGATTGAATTGTAGATGGTTGTGAGCCACCATGTGGTTGCTGGGAATTGAACTCAGGACCTCTGGAAGAGAAGTCAGTACTCTTAACCTCTGAGCCATCTCTCCAGCCCCAATAATAAACTTTTAAGGCATTTCTTGGGTCTTGGAAGAGTGGGGGCAGACATGAATAACAGCAATCCAGTGATAGAGGCAGGAGGATTAGGGGTTCAAGACTAGCTTCTGCTACATAGCAAGCTCCAGGCTAGTCAGGGTTACATGTGACCATGTTTCAAAAACTAAAGCACAAAAACCAAGCTAGATAGGTTGGCAAACCCATCACTCTGGAGACAGAAACAGATGGATTTCTGTGAGTTCAAGGCCAGCCTGATCTACACAGTGAGTTCCAGGCCAGCCAAGGCTACACAGTGAGTGAAATCTTGTCTCAACCCCCCCTCAAAAAAAAAAACCCTCAAGATCAAAAATATCTTTCTTTTCAAAAAGATGAAGGAAGCTTTAGAGATGGGACAGCAGTTAAGGTGCCTGCTACCAAGTGTGAGGACCCCCATGATGGAAGGACAAAAGTGATGCCCAACGAAGTTGTCTACACTCACGTACTGTGGAGCACACACGTGATAAATAAATTTCTGCACAATAAGTAACTTTTTTAGTAAGGTCAGGGGTGGGTAGGTGCCTCAGTTGCCAAAGCATCTATCTAGCACATGCAGGCACCTAGCAGGAACAAAGCCTGTATCTCCAAAAATCAAAACGTTCCTCTGGGCCGAGTCTGTAGTACAGGCCAGTAGTTGAGCACTTGCCTAGCATACACACAAGAGGCCCTAGGTTCAACAACAAGAACAACACACACACACACACACACACACACACACACACACACACACACACTATTTGTCTGTAATTTCTCTCTCAATAAAAGTGAGTAAGTAGAACTTCATGAAAGATCCATGAGGTAGAGGCAGATGGATCAGGAGTTCAAGGCCATCCTCTGCAGCACAGTGAATTCCAGGCCAGCATGGACAACATGAGACTATCAAAAACAACAACAACAACAACAACAACAAAACCAAAATAGTAAAGGTGGCAGACAGGGGGCCGTGGGCACTCAAATATTCCAAGATAGAAAACTCCTAACTCAAAGCACTTCTGCTTTCACAGGTCCTAAGATTTAAGTTTTCACACACAAAACTAGGTGCTAAGAGGCTTAAACAGTTCCTGTATTGAAGTCAATCTCTATATTGGGAACTCATAATTGAAGAGACCTCGCAGACCCACAGGAGTTAAGGAGCTTGAGATACATGGAGTAAGTGACCATTTAGTCCCACGCCCCACTAAGGAAATAATCAAGACATGCTTCCTCTTGAGCTCCCTCCCAGCACCCAGTGTGACGCAGGGCTTAAAATGTACCAAGCACGGTGGGGTGTGTCCACAACCCCAGCACTTGGGCAGTGGAGCCCGAGGATCAGGAGCTCAAGATCCCTCTCTACACAAAAAGAAACTCAAAAACACACAAGACTGGCAGTGGTGGCACACACCTTTAGTCCCAGAACTTGGGAGGCAGAGGCAGGCAGATCTCTGTGAGTTCAAGGCTGGCCTGGTCTACAGAGCGAGTTCCAGGACAGCCAGGGTTACATAGAGAAATCTTATCTAGAAAAAAACAAAACAAGCAGATAAAACAAAAAAACTAAACTGCAGACTATGAGATGGACCTGATGCAGGTCTATAATCCTTGCTACTAAAGACTAATTTAGGAGAATCAAAATTGGAAGATCTGAACCAGGTGTGGTAGTGCTCACACCTTTATCCGTAAAGGAGGTAGAGGCAGGCAGATCTCTGAGTTCAAAGCCAGCCTGGTCTACAGTGAGTTCTAGGCCAACCGGGTTACACAGTGAGACCCTGTCTCAAAAAAGTAAAAACAGTTGAAAACTTGTTGTAGTACATGGAGTTCAAAGTCAAACCATGTACTTTAGTAAGACAGTTCTGGGATCTGATGAGTGACAGAGCACTTGCCTAGCAAATGTGAGGCCATAGGTTCAGTCTTCAGAAACAAACAGGGATATATGAAGCCTGATAGGAAGGATGGCTCAGTGGGCAAAGATGCCAGCTGCTGAAGCCTGACAACCTGAGTTCAAGTCCTGGAAACCACACAAAGGTGGAAAGACAACTGACAATGCTGTCTCTGACTCCACAGGCACACTGGGGCACACATGTACACACACACACATAATTTAACTGACTCCACAGGCACACTGGGGCACACATGTACACACACACACATAATTTAACCAATTTCTTAATTTCATGTACATCGGTGGATTTTTTGTTTTTTGTTTTTCCTGCATGTATGCCTATGTAGGAGTGTCAGATTCCCTGGAACTGGAGTTATAGTCAGTTGTAAGCTGCCATGTGGGTCCTGGGAATTGAACCCAGGTCCTCTGGAAGAGCAGCCAGTGCTCTTAACAGCTGAATCATCTCCCGAGGCCAACATTTTATTTGTTGTTGTTGTTGTTTTCAAGACAGGATTTCTCTGTGTAACAGTCCTGGCTGCCCTAGAACTCACTTTGTAGACCAGGCTGACCTCGAACTCACTGAGATCCATCTGCCTCTGCCTCCCGAGTGCTGGGATCAGAGGCGTGTGACACCCACCCATCCTCCCCAAAGCCCAATAATTTTTAAAAGTAGAATCTGAAGCCAAGTTGTTGGCACCACAGTGCTAGCCACTTCCTAGTTCAGTGGTCTCTGTTAAATTACTTATCTCCACACCTCAGTCTCCCCCAGCTATCAGATGTAGTATGTAATATAATAACACTACATAGGATTTACTGTGAGACTTAGATTAACGCACACAAAGTGCTTAGACCAGGTCATAGAGTGAGAGTTGGATGCACATTAGCCATCGTTATTGGCCATTGTCATTCACCACCTGGAGTAACTGCAACTGCACTCAGGCTGAGCAGCTGGAAAGGCCTGTCTAGGAGTGCCTTCTGAGTGTGATTTGCATAACGGTTGAGGGCCAGCTGATGTCAAGGCTTCTTGAAGTTCTAGGTCAGCTGTAGCCTTGGAAGCGGTTCCAGCTGCAAGACAGCCCCACAGTCTCCCCACCAACACCACTTCCTACTCAAGTGCTAAAGCACCAGGAAGTGAAACAGCTGAAGCTCCATTGCCTCCAACTCACCCCGTCTACCTCATCCTACCTCCATTTCCTTACTTTTCTTCCCACCCTTCCTCTCCTGTCTCTTAGGACTCTCAGGACCTCAACCAGAGGTAGCGAAAGTATAAGAGACACTACACAAAATGGAATGAACTCCCCTACGCACCCCCTCCCAATTCCCATATTCCATTTCTACGAATCCTATGTACACAAGCCATTTCTCCCACAAACGGAGCCATTTCTAAAGGTAGGTAGCCTCATCACAGAATCCTAATAAAAATGTGTGCACCAGAAGTTTCATTGGGCAGTTTAAAATAGTCCCAAAGGGTACTTAAAATAGTCCTAAAAGCACATTTGGAAGAATACAGAGATTATCATGACCCCTGTGCAAGGATGACATGCAAATCCATAAAGCATTTTATATTAAAATAAATAGTCTTCAGTTGATGTCTTTAATCCCAGCACTCAGGAGGCAGAAACAGGCCAATCTCTGAGTTTGAGGCCAGCCTCGTCTACAGAGTGAGTTCTGGAGACAGCCAGGACTACACCGAGAAACCCTGTCTTGAAAAACAAAAAATCCTAAGGGAAGGGAGACCCCCCATTGAGAACAAGTGTCTCAGAGAAAATTTAACTTGGGAAAACTTTGTGATCATTGACAGCCTCATTCTGACTTCCAGACTGTTCCGGGACCCTCCACTGGGGTTGGGGCAGTCCCTTCTTCAGACCACCCTCTCCTCCCACGGCCGACCTCACTCTTTCGGCGGCTTCCCTGGATGTTGCATCACGGAGGGTGATGAAACCAGCCATCAGTGGATTTTACCCATGGATGCAACAGGCTGAAGGACCAGCAAGGGTCACCGCCACTGCACTTTCAACTATGTATCTACACTTTTCTAGCTATGGGGTAGGAGTAGTGGCCTGGGGTGTTTAAATTGGATTTCCGGTCCCTGGTTATACTGGTTCCCTGAAAAGTCATTACCTAAATCCCACAGAACCAATGACAACATTAGGCTAAGTGGAATGAAAAATCAAGGGGTTCTTAGCCAGCATTATTGCCCCCAAAGTACCCTTTCCACAGTGAGGGCTGACAGGGAGCAGTGATTTCTTACCCTGCCCTTACACAGCATCTCAGATCACAAAGCACTTTCACGGTTACTGTTGCCCCCCAAACCAGGGCCACCCCGTGAAAACAATACCATTTTCCCACTGAGGAAAAAAAAAGTCTTGTTCTTACACAGGAACCAAACTTCATTTGAAACTGAGCTCACCATGGGATTTGGAGATGAATGAATGCTGTTGTGGTTTTTCCTCAAGCAAGAGGAAGTGAGGAAATCAGAGTGGGATGAGGTAAGAATAAAGCCTTGAGAGGCAAAAAAAAAAAAAAAAAAAAGAAAGAAATCAGACAGATTACACAGGAAGGAACTGGAGATGGTATTAATTTAAATGTTCGCTACTTCCCCGCCCCTTCTGCAGCCGTCTCTGTTCCTGGAGAGCATGACACATGGGTCCTGTCCTAGGCCTCTAAGCCACATCAACCTCACCACCACTTCCCCTGGAACTGAGGAGGCATACCTGGGCTCTCCACAGAGGGAGATGATGCAGGGAGGGGAATCCCACCTGCTCTGAGTCACCTGCTAGTGTAAAGGGCGGGCCTTACAATGCAGAGACCTTAAAAGAGACAGCAAGACAAAGGGAAGAAAACAGGAAGCATCTTAGAGACACAGAGCCAGCGGGGTCTGAGAAGCAGGCAACAAGATGCTGCTCTGCCCAGCTGCACTACTGCTGTGGCTGCTGCCCTGGACCGCTCGGGGCCTGGCTGTGCCCAGGAGCAGCAGCCCTGACTGGGCTCAGTGCCAACAGCTCTCTCGCAATCTCTGCACACTGGCCTGGGATGCACAGCCACCAGTAGGGCATATGGTAAGTGTCAGCTCCTGGAGCCGTGCAGAGACCCCTCTGAGCCCTCTAAGTGTGTAGGGTTGATGTAAGCTTCCGCCTGGGTGGAATCTGGAGGGCTGAAGGTCATCACGGAATGAGAGAGGGCAGAAGACGGGACTTCTGGGAGAGTCAGGGACCAACGGTCCATTGGAATGCAAAAGTACTTCTCTCATCCTCCCTCATCCCCACTCCAGGATATACTAAGAGAAGAAGGAAATGAAGAGACTAGAAACGATGTCCCCCATATCCAGTGTGGGGATGGTTGTGATCCCCAAGGACTGAAGGACAACAGCCAGGTACCACCAAGATGACATTGGGGTATCTAAGGGAGGGGAGATGGAATGATCTGGGCATCATGGCGACCACTTAGCTATGCCTGAGATGGTAAAGAACCGTAATGGGCTTGAAGTCAGCCGAGCTACACATAGTAAGTTTAAGGCCATAGCCTGAATTAGTGAGATGCCGTCTAACACAAGAAAGAAAGAAAGAAAGAAAGAAAGAAAGAAAGAAAGAAAGAAAGAAAGAAAGAAAGAAAGAGAGAAAGAAAGAGGGCGGCAGGAAGGACACCAGGAAAGCAAATCCCAAGCTTCCATTGCTTTCTTCCTTCCCTAGTTCTGCTTGCAAAGGATCCGCCAAGGTCTGGTCTTTTATAAGCAGCTGTTGGACTCAGACATTTTTACAGGGGAGCCTGCTCTACTCCCTGATGGCCCCATGGGCCAGCTTCACACCTCCCTACTGGGCCTCAGCCAACTCCTCCAGGTAAGAACCAGGGATCTGGAGGATGGGGCTAGCCAGTGTCAGAGATGGAAGCCGGGAGCTTAGTGTTAGAATCCCTTCTGACGGTGCTTTGTGTCCTTTTAGCCAGAAGACCACCAGTGGGAGAGCCAACAGATGCCTAGCCTGAGTCCCAGCCAGCAGTGGCAGCGTCCCCTTCTACGTTCCAAGATCCTCCGAAGCCTCCAAGCTTTTGTGGCGATAGCTGCCCGGGTCTTTGCCCATGGAGCAGCCACCCTGACCGAGCCATTAATGCCAACAGCTTAAGTATGGCACCCAGGTTCCCATGGCTCAGCAATGATAGGATCAATCTACCAACCCAGGCATCTACGAGCCAACAGACTGATTGGCCCATTAGTACTTTCTGTTACTTGTTTGTTTTGTTTGAAAGGCAAAGGCAGTTTTATTAAAGGAAAAAAAGAAGAAGGAAAGAACCCCAGAGCGGGTAGCTCCCTAGAGGAAGGAGATGGAGAGGAGTAGAGACACGCCCTTTGCCACGCGGCAGGCGGGGTGGGATGGGAGGAGCGCATCAGGGAAACAGTGAGAAAGCCCAGGGCTTCAGAAAAACCGGGGCCAGGCTTTAGCCAGTATCTGCAAGGAAAGGAAGGAAAGGGAAAGTTACATCTTTCTGAGTAGCTGGGAGAAATGTGGGCTCCTGGTGCCACAAATGGAGGCTCTGTAGTCGCCTGCTTAGTCCCTAAGAACCAACAACCAACCAACACGGACCAACGGCGATGCTTAACCTGTGACAAGCGTGTATTTATTCATCTAAAAGGGGTATTATTTATCCTCGTAACAGCAGTTTAGAGGATTGTTATTTATTATATTTATAAGGAATTAATGTATTTTTCCAATAAAGACTTATTTATGTGGCTCTCTGAATCTAATTTCTTTTTTTTTTTTTTTTTGGTTTTTCGAGACAGGGTTTCTCTGTGGCTTTGGAGGCTGTCCTGGAACTCGCTTGGTAGTCCAGGCTGTTCTCGAACTCACAGAGATCCGCCTGCTTCTGCCTCCCGAGTGCTGGGATTAAAGGCGAGCGCCACCACTGCCCGGCTCTGAATCTAATTTCTAAGCATAGTTGGGAAAGGAAACAAATGAGAAGCGAAACAGCCGAGTAACAATGGGAGCTATGTGTCTATTCCTTCCCTGCCACCATAGTCTGAGGGACATAAATGGCTGCACCAATCAAGGGAAAGAAGGAATGTGACAAGAGGAATGTACCGGAGTAGGTTTGAAAGAGCCACAGTTTGATGACCTAATGCTGATTGATACATTGCTGGCCTTGCTGTCCCTAAGGAATCAGCTTTGGAGAACAGACAGACATGTGGAAAAGAGACACCTCCACCAGCTTGTGTTGTCGTGGTTTTAACAAGAGTTTATTAGGATGTACAAAAGACAATCGATCTTTCTAGCTATAGGGAGCATGGTGACAGCAAGGAACTCAGGCACTTACAAAGGAACAGAGTGAACTGTGACTAAAATCTCAGGCACAAGGAACTCTCTCTCACTCTCTCTCATTCTCTCTCATTCTCTCTCATTCTCTCTCATCCTCCCTCCCTCCCTCCCTCCCTCCCTCCCTCCCTCCCTCCCTCCCTCTCTCTCTCTCTCTCTCTCTCTCTCTCTCTCTCTCTCTCCTCTTCAGTGCTGGGATTAAAGGCTTGTACCACTCCACCTGGCTTTGCCAGATTTCTTCCTTCTTTCCTTTTTTCCTCTCTTTCCTTCCTTCCTTCCCTTCCTTTCCTCTGTTTTTTGAGACAGGGTTTCTCTGTGTAACCCTGGCAGTCCTAGAACTAGCTCTTGTAGACCGGGCTGGTCTCGAACTCACAGAGATCCACCCCTCTGCCTCCTGAGTGCTGGGATCAAAGGCATGTGCCACCACCACCTGGCTTTTGCTGAATTTCTTACCTTCACCTGTGGGCCGGGGGCTTTTCTCTTATGACTTCCGCTTTTATTTCCGAGTTTCCTCTGCTCCTCTCTGTATCTCTTCCTTATCTAGCTCCTTGGCTTTTGGTGTGCTCATGACACTTTCCTGGCTGGGCATGGTACTGCTGTCCCAGCTCCAACTGTTATTAACCCCTTCCTGAACAGGACTGACACATCAGGGAGGGCACGCTCACAGTATGGCTGGCCCATGTTCATTTACCACTCAAGTTGTACCACAAACACACCTCAGAGTAGTGGCAGCTGCTCCCAGGTTCCCTGGCAATGGCTAAGGCTTAAGGATGTCCAGAGGCCTCTGATAAACCTTCAAGGCTCTGAGGTCCTTGCCCGGGTCATGCCTAAGGGACAGACGCTTAGCTTTCATGTTAACAATGTACAAAAGAAGCAGTGACAACTTATTAGTGAGACAACTCAGATGCAGTATGTCTCTTCACACAATTCTGCCCAGTGCTATAAGAAGTAATTCCCGGTGTTCAGAAACCTGAGCATCCAGACCTCCAGGAGTGACTCTCTCAAGAACTTGGAAAGCAGAGGCGAGGCTGCCTATCACAAAGCTTCACATCTTCCTAAGGGACCAGGATTGTTGTGTAGGGGAAGGGTGAGCAGGGTTGGGGACCCCTAGGAGGAACCATACCTATCTGCCCGACCTCAGGATAGAGTTCACATAGTGGGCTGAAGCAGACAGCACTCAGCCTTTATAGGAGAAAAGGAGATTTAGAATTGGGGTTGGGACCGAAGGGAGGCAAAAAGGAAAGGGTTAGTTAGACCTGAAGTCATCAGAAGACAGGACTAAAGGACTTGGGGTATGGCTCAGTGCCATTGTGGTGGCCTACCACCGCTGAGAATCTGGGTTTGGCAAGACCCAGGATAGCAAAGCAGGAGAGAGGACAAAACTCCATCCATCTCTGTGCTCCCCACAAAGGTCCGGTGGTGGTTCACACCAATTTAGCCTTACCAATCATCAAACCATTAAAATCTTTCCTTACTAAGAAGATACCCCTGCCTTGGGCTTCCTTAAAAGTCCTGACTTGCCCTCAGGACCCCTGCGTCTCCCAGCATGGCAGGCAGACTCGGGATCCTACCAAGACAATGCCAGCGCCTGTTCTGATTCTTTGCCAGAACAAAGCCAACTTATGCTTTTACCTCCTACTTCAAAGTTCATGGCTAACCCAGCTCTGAAGGCCTCATATCCACCGTTGGAAGCAATGCCCTGGTACGGGAGGTAGGAAGAACAGAACGGGAACATGGCTCCTAGTCATCAGAAGGAATCAAGGGTCCATCCACATCAAAATGGCTTTGGCAGGACATGTAGGCTTCATCTACGATGTTCTGATCAGCCAACAGTGGGTCACCGTAGGGCATGATGTCATCAATATTTATGTTGTTTCTGAAGACTAGACCACACAGAGAAAAACGTCAGTCCTTGATCCAAGTTAGACACTCCCAACTGCAGCAGGACAGGCACAGTCTGGGGTTGAGGGGCTCTTAGGAAATGGAAGAGCAGAGCGGGACGGGGTGGCGCTGGCATTTCCTAATATCGGGAAATGAACCAGGTGTCCCCTCTTCCCCAGCCGGGTCCTGTCACTTACTGTCCATGTTCAGCTGCTGCAGGTCGTGAGGTAAGTCTGAGTCTGGTGATGGCTGGGAGACAGGCCCTGGGTCTGCCCTCAACACTGTCTGAGAGGCCACGCACAGTGTGGGGTTCAGTTCCAGCTCTGCCCCCAGATCTAGCCCTTCCTTCAGCAACATCTGCAACTCCAGGTCTTGTTCTAATGTTGTGGCTGACGTGAGCTCTGCGTTTAGGTCTAAGGAATCCAGTTCTGGCTCCTGTTCAAGTCCCAGAGGTTGCTGCAGCTCGTCCACCTGTCTAGGTAGATAAGGACAGACAGTGGGACAGGACTCAGTGAGTGAGATAAGGCAAGATATAGCAGAGCAAACGGGCTGTGTTTCTAGTCTAAGAAGGTGGCGAGGAGCTAGGTGTGTTTGCATACACCTTCACCCAACACTCAGGAGGTGGCAGGGGCAGGTGGATCTCTGTGAGTTTGAGACTAGTCTGGTCTACATGGTGAGACCCATGCCTGGGTGGGGGGAGCACAGATGGACAAAGGTCTAAAGACCTTGGGCTTTATAATCAAGATTTTTAAGATTTTTGTTATTTTTCTTTCTTTCCTTGAGACAGGGTCTTATGTAGCCCAGGCTGGCCCTTCAAATCTCCACATAGTCAAGGCTAGACCGGAACTTGTGCTCCTTCTGCCCTCCACTGGCCAAGTGCTGGAATCATAGGCTTTACCGCCACATCTGGGTGGGCCGCAGATCATCATTTACCATTTTTAATGTTTACTTTTATTTTCTGTGTGCAAGCTTTGCCTGTGCGTAAGGCTGTGCCTGATCACTGCTGCTGTTACCCACCTTAGTGGGTCCTCATAAGGGTTGAACAACAAAAGGTTTTAGAAAATCCAGTACAATGATTGGCATCAGGAAGGGTCCCACTACATGTGGCTATGATCATGGCCACCAGGGAACTCAGATGGAGATGTCAGGAAAGACGGCAGCAGGAAACCATGAGAGAGAAGAGAAGTTGGTGAGCTGTGGTCAGCAGGCAGAGGATTTTGACTGAAGGGTTTGTATCTCACCTGTTGGAGACCACAATGAGCCTGTGTTTCAGGTATTTCCTCCGCTCTTCAAAGTTAACTGTGGGGACACAGACAGGAGGTGGGAGAGATCAATGTGTTGGACATGCATGTCAAATTGTCCTAGAGCAAGACGGTCCTGACAAATGCACCTCCCTATTAAGGGGCATGTGCCGTAACAAATGTGCCCTGTGTGTGAAAGGAGCTGGATTTTCCAGTATCTGAGGAAGCTTTCACTAGGAGGGATGTATTGCCAACGATCCCAACCTTTTTCCTGGTAGTAGCACCCAAAAGCTTCATCCCGAGGGATTCTGGGATAGAGGAAGCGTAGCGGGTTCTCAGGGATGTTCTCTTCAGCAAGAACTTGGTAGTGGCGGATGATTTCTGTCAGTGGGAGTGACTGTAGCACTTCCTTGGTGTAGGGCTGCACGGAGTAGATGACCACTTTATCTGAAAAACAGTGGGCGGGCTTGAGGTGAGGCTAGCCCCAGCGTTCTCCGCCTTAGCTGCCCACCCTCAAGACTACTATGGGATCCAGGCAGAGCCCAGAAACCAAGGGCAGGCAGAGGGTCAGAGGGGGTGGGGTGGGGTGTGACGTGACTGGGGTGTGACACCCCCTGCTAACCATCGTCCTGGTGCTCCACCCAAGAGCAGGTGATGCCCCCCTCTGAAGTTTCACTGAAGCGCAGGAGAAAGGTCCCAGAGACTGTCTTCTTCAGCAGTCGGCGTTCCTGGTTCCGGCTCACAAAGCCCATGATGTGCCTGGAGCAGACAGAGCTCTGTAAGGTCCCAAGGTCCCTGTCCCTTTTGTGTGGGAGTGGGAACAGGATTTGGGCCTATTTCTGTCACTTTGGCAGTGCTCCTACCCCCAAGGTTTGAGAGGATTCAGTGAGGACACAATAATGAAAAGCATGAGGTGAGGGGTGATAAGATGGTTCAGCAGCTAATGGTACCTGTCACCAACCTGATGGCCTGAGTTCAGTCTGACCACACACACACACACCACACACTCACTCATACAGTCACACATTCACACACACTCACACACTCTCATACACTCACACACACATACACCATACTACATAAAAATGCAAAAGAGCTGGGTATAGCATGGAATATCTTTAATCCCAGCTCTCGGGAGGCAGAGGTAAGTGGATCTATAAGTTCAAGGCCAGCATGGTTTACATAGCAAGTTCCAGGACACCCAGCTAGAGCTACATAATAGAGAGGCCCTCTGTCTGTCTGTCTGTCTGCCTGCCTCTTCTCTCTCTCTCTCTTTCTTTCTTTCTTTCTCTCTCTCTCTCTGTCTCTCTCCTCTCTGTGTGTGTCTCTCTGTCTCTGTGTGTGTGTGTCTCTGTCTCTGTCTCTCTGTCTCTCTGTGTGTGTGTCTCTCTCTCTGTCTCTGTCTGTCTCTCTGTGTGTGTGTGTGTCTCTCTGTCTCTGTCTCTCTGTCTCTGTGTGTGTGTGTGTGTCTCTCTGTCTCTGTCTCTCTGTCTCTGTGTGTGTGTGTGTCTCTCTCTCTGTCTCTGTCTCTGTGTGTGTGTGTGTGTCTCTCTGTCTCTGTCTCTCTCCTCTCTGTGTGTGTCTCTCTGTCTCTGTGTGTGTGTCTCTCTCTCTGTCTCTGTCTCTCTGTCTGTGTGTGTGTGTGTGTGTGTCTGTCTCTGTCTCTGTCTGTGTGTGTGTGTGTGTGTCTCTGTGTGTGTGTGTCTGTGTGTGTGTGTCTGTGTGTGTGTGTGTCTCTGTGTGTGTGTGTGTCTCTGTGTGTGTGTGTGTGTGTGAGTGTGTCTCTGTCTGTGTGTGTGTGTGTGTGTCTGTGTGTGTGTGTGTGTGTGTGAGTGTAAACTAACATAGACCAGGTGATGGACAGTTGCCCAGGCCTGGGTCTATTCCCACTTCTGCCCATTAAGCAAGTTTCTAATTTCTCCAAGAATTCAGGATTTCCCCATGACTGAAGGGTGGAACTATTCGCCACACTGGTGACACTGTGAACAAATTCAAGAGAGCACCCTGTAGGCTCTGCCACACTGCAGACACTTGACAAACACAGGCCAAAATTACTGTTACTAACAGGGCCTCCCACCAGCTTTTGGTCTCTCCCGTGCCATAAGGGGCGCACGAAGTCCACTCCTGAGCCCAGTGGGAGAAAACTGGACAGGAGGGTTGAGAAAGGCCTTACCCATCATTCCAAAGGTCCTTCAGGTGGTCATGGACCAGCTCCAGAATTTTGTCCAGCCACGTCCAAAAAGGGATCTTGCCAGGGGGGCTGTCTCGCTGAAAGAGGAACGGAAAGGCAGGAAGAGATTGGAGCTGCCCTTAGCGTAGGGAAGGGTCCAGGCGGGGCCAGATTTTGGACTAGGGACCAGAGGGACACGGGCTACTGGAAATTACCTTACTGAAGTCCACCCAGGACAGCAATGCATCCTCCATCTTGCAGTTCTTCCCTGTAGGACAGCATCACAGATGGTTTGGATGATGAAGGAGGGCATGGCGTCAGGCAGAGGGCCTGGGATAGGACCCAGGGTAGGGGCGCTAGGCTAGGGACAGGCTGAGAGCAGAGAAAACTGTACCAAAGAGCTTGTTCTTCAGCATGCCCAGCTGCTCAGAGCTGAGGCCTCGGCCAACATAGGAGGAGAACTGCCAACTGAGGACAGGCCCCAGCAGGCTCCAGGGGGCTTTAGGGGCGTGGCAGAAGAATCTGGGGTCCTGTGGTGGGAAGAGGGAAGCTCGCTGGCTCAGAAGCAGCCCTTCCCACCACGCCTCCCCTCCTCCCTGCTCCTCATGCATTCGCCTCATCCCTACCTGGGGGGTTGGACTGAGCATGTTGAACCAGAGGACCGAGGCCCAGGCAATGGAGAGCTGGTTCATGTTAGAAATGATCACCACAGGGAGCGTGTCCGTCTGGGAAAAGGACAGCGGTCATGGTGGCGGCAGACGTCTGCCTCAGGGCCTGGGTGACATCCCACTCTGGGACACCGGGGACACTGGCGTTAGTGTCGTCGGTGCCCTCCGTGTGCTGCCTCCTTCCCAGCTTCCCTCACTCACCTGCAACTCCATCTTCAGACCCTGGTACACGTATTGCACCACAAAGCTGACGACGTGTAACTCCTCCGTCACAGCCAGCGGCCCCTGGAGAGTCACAGTGATTACAGGGTTCGGTGGCCAGTCACTGGCCTCAGTTCACGGCTCTGGTGAGTCCCCCCAGCCTTACCTTATTGGTGCCCTTTCCTGTACCCACAGAGCGTTGCTCCACCAGCGTCTGTGAATGGAGGAGAGACACAGTGCCAGGGAGGCGACCCAGAGGCCAACACCTAGAAATGTTCCTCCAATCCTGTCCCTTTGGATTAGGGGCCAATTCTATTAACCCTTCTTACCAAGAAGCCAAAGTCCCAAACTAAACCTTGTCTCTGGCCCTCCTCAGGGGTCAAGGTTTTTTGGTTTGAGGTCAGAATGTTGAACTTCCGGAAGCTGTTCCAGGGAAATGATATATGGAGACCAAGAGCAAGGTTAGTGTCTGTCTGTCTGTCTGTCTGTCTGCCTGCCTGCCTGCCTGCCTGCCTGTCTGTCTCTGTAGCCCAGGCTGGGCCTTGAATTCTTGCCCCAGCCTCCTAAGTACTGAAGTTTCAGGTGTATCCCACTATGACATACTCAGAGTCAGTTTTAAGAATCAGCAGGAAAGGGCCAGTGAGATGGCTCAACGGCAGAGAGGTTTGCCGCCAAGCCTGATGACTTGAGTTCAATCCCTAGGACCCACATGGTGGTAGGAAAGAGCAGACTTCCACTAGTTATTTCCATATTTTTCTCTCTTGATCATGTACATGTGCACACACACACACACACACACACACACACACACGCACACACACTAGCTCTTTCTGTAGCTAAAATTCAAATAAAAAATACAACTTAGCAGAAAAACAGGAATCCCACTTCATTTCAGACTTCCCCTTCTCCTACTGTCCAAGCCCCACCCAAATGCCCTTCCTCCCATGGCCCCCACCAGCATTGCCAAACACGGAGTGCAGGTCATGCGTGCAGAGTACCTGTGCTTATCAGGCACCTACCCTGGTGGTAACTCTGAATTCCTGAAAACAAAGAAAAAAGACAATCACTGGTCCAGTAGGGGGACAGGGGAGAAATCAGAAGCAACCCTTCCCACCAAGCCTCCACTCGGGGTAACAGTAGTTAGGAACTTGGTCTCAGTGGTCAGGACAGGCCCTTGAGTTCACTGGCCACATGGCCTGGCAGAAGAGACACCGTATCCCTGCGTTCATGTCCTTACTTATCAGACACATTGGTAACAGCTGCCTGGTGGAGGGTTAGCACACCGGAAAGAGCCTGAGACAGGCTGCGAGGCAGCTAGCGTGCGCTCAGTGAGAGGGCCTGGGCTTGCTGCTGCTGTTTAGTTTTGTGTGTGTGCTTTTTGTTGCTTTGTTTTTCTTTTGGGTTTGTTGTTGTTGTTGTTTGTTTGTTTTTTGAGACAGGGTTTCTCTGTGTTACAGCTCTGGCTGCCCTGGAACTCACTCTGTAGACCAGGCTGACCTCGAGCTCTGGGGATTAAAGGGGTGCACTGTAACTCCTGACTTGAGGAAGGTGTGTTGACTTCTGTAAGGTAGACTGGACAGACAGAAGACAGCCTGAGGTCTGGCTGTGCAGCGGCTACCACTGGCTCCAGTCTATTCCTACTGGCCATCTTAGTCACATCCTCAGCCACCTCCACTCACCTGTCAATGGAGACCTCGGCTTTGAGCGACTCATTGCCCTCCTGGAGTCTCACCAGCAGTCTGGGGGAATAGGAGATGGATTGATATAGTGGGCAATCTCAAGTTTTGTTGTTTGTTTTTAGAGACACGGTTTCTCGGTGTAACAGCCCTAGCTGCCCTGGAACTACCACTGTAGACCAGGCTGGCCTCGAACTCACAGAGATCCGCCTGCCTCTGCCTCCCGGGTGCTGGAATCAAAGGTGTGGGCCACCACTGCCTGGCTCTCAAATTCTTGATAAGGTCAGATGTGTAGAAAAAAACTGTGTGTGTGTGTGTGTGTGTGTGTTGTGTGTGTGTGTGTTAGAAGGGGAAGGTGAACTAGAGGGGAAAGAAGAAATTTCCACCAGCTAAAGGATCGCCAAGTCAGAAAAGGTACAATGGCAGAGTAGGGGAAAACTAGGCAGGGGTTAGAGAATCAAGCAACCTTGTTCGGACAGTGAACTTGCTCCCAGTCTTCAGGATGAGCGGTCGATGGAGAGTTTGGGGCATGCAGGGCTGGGTTTCCACCACAAAGGACCTAAGGAAAGAGGTGTGGAGGGAAGATAACAGTTCAGTGTCTGTAACGACCGTAACCCCACGCTTCTTCCTTGTTCCCCCACCACAGACCCCTCCCAGGCCACCAGACCTTTGGAGCAGGCGTTGTAGTAACTCTGTGACTTGGGCATTCTGCAGGTCCACCCCTTTGCTAAACATGTCCCCGTCATACTTAAGCATGTGACTCATTTCCTTTAGCTGTTTCAGTAGCTGCCGGAGGTGGAACAAGAGCTTTGCCCCAGCCGTCAACCTGCGAGACAGAGGCGGGGAGAGAGGACGTGTAGGTCTCAAGGCCCCACTGAGGTTCTGAGTGCTCTTCCAGAGGGCCTGAGTTCAATTCCCAGCACCCCCATGTCAACTCACAGCCGTCTGTAACTCCAGTTCCGGGGGAACCGACACCCTCCCCAGGCATACATGAGGCAAAACACTAATGCACATAAAATAAAAAAGAACAGACGAAAAATTAAAAAACAAAACCAAAGCCTGACTTGACTAAGAAGAACCCAGGGCGAGGTGTGCCACTGTGCCTTGTTGTCCCATACTCCCAAGGTTGAAGTAGGGGGTTTGAGAGTTCAAGGCTAGTCTGCGACACATGAGACCCTGTCACAAGCAAACAGAATCCGGGAAGCACATGGCAAGGTACTCAACACGGCTTTTTTCCTAGACAGTTTCTCTGTACCCAGGTTACCCTGGAGCTCGCTCTGTAGATCCGCCTGCCTCTGCCTTCCAGGTGCTGGGATGAGAGGCTCGAATCAGATTCAACACGATTTTTACTCCAGTTTTGTGTACCAAAGTGGTCTTGAGTTTAATCTTTTGGAGTAAAAATCGTGTTGTACAGGGTGTGCAACATGAGCAGGTCAGAACTGTGTATCTTCATGATCGATCCTCACCTCACCGACACAGGCTCTCTAACTGAACCTGGGCCTCACCATTTTGTCTGAGAGGCTGGCCAGCAAACCCTGGGTCTCTACCTACTAGTAACACCTGGTGATGGTGTTACATGTACCTGGTACTGGGCCCAGCATTTTTTTTTTTTTTTGGTTTTTCGAGATGGGGTTTCTCTGTGTAACAGCCCTGGCTGTCCTGGAACTCACCCTGTAGACCAGGATGACCTCGAACTCACAGAGATCCGACTGCCTCTGCCTCCCGAGGGCTGGGATTAGAGGTGTGCGCCACTGCTGCCTGCCTGTGCCTAGCTTTTATGTGGGTGCTTGGGATCTGAACTTAGACCCTATGCTCGAATAGCAAGCTTGTTCCTGATGGAGCCATTTCCTCAGACGCTGGCTGTTTTGTTTTATTTTGATTTGCATGTGTCTTCAAGGCAGGGTCTAAGTATACACTTCAGACTAGCCTCAACTGTCAGTTCTTGTGCGTTTCCTCCAGAGAGCCTGGATTCCTGGGTTCCAGCACCACACTCAGCTCAGAGCCCTCTTTTTGATCATTCCGTTGTTTTGGTTTTCAAGCCAGGGTTTCTCTGTACAGCCCTGGCTGTCCTGGAACCTTGAGGGTTAGGCCTGCTGTGAGCATGAGGACGGGAAGGAAATGTCTTCTCCTCTTACCACTGTTCCAGCTGTTCCAGCTGCAGCTCGGGTGGTGGGGCTCCAATGCAGGATCTCTGCTGCTGCACCCTCCACTCGTCCAGTTTTGGCAGCAACAGGTCAACCAGGGTGGTTAATCGGCCTAATTGTGCTCTGGACATATCTAGCACCTCCTAGCAAGGGGGAAATTCATGGGCTAAGTGCCTCTCACCACCTCATCAATCAGCTGACCAGAGGGCCAGAGCTCCCCCACCCCTCTCCCTGAGGCTCTCTGCTGCCCCATCTGTTAATTGCCTTCACCTTTCTCATTCTGTCCAGTTCGTTGGCTGTTGCCTGTACCATCTGCAACTCTTGGTTCTGATGCGGGTCCAAAGATGGTGTCTTCTTCTCTGAAATGCACAACCAAGAGTCAGCTCACAGGTTCCTACAGGCTTTCCTGGCCAGGGTCTTGGTCAGGAGCAGGGAATGATGGGTTGGAGGGAGAATCAGGCAAAGTACAGGCCCTGGGGTCCCACGGGCAAACTCTGAATGGACCAGAAGCCCACTCACCCTGCCAAGGCAGTTTCCTACATAAGCCCGCCATCATTTACTGGCTGTCCCACAGCCCCATCTCTATTCTGCCCCACAACACTCCCTGGCGCCCTGTTCTGTATATGGACGGGACAACTGACATATGACTGAAGGGGACCGCTGCTCGCTGCAGCCTTCAGTTTCTGTCATCATCCACGATAGGTCTCTGAGACGACCCCTGGCTTTCTCCCACTTCGAGTGGACCTACTTTGAGTGAGAACCGTGTATCTGAAGCTGAAGACGTCATGCAGGTCTTTCAGTTGCCTGACGGACCTCACCAACACCTGTAGAGGAAATGGGACCCAATAAGGCTGCTTCTGAGAGGGCTAGAAAAACTGTATCCTCTGTGACACTTGCCACACCCACCAACCTCAACCGTAGCCTGCAAGTCCAGGACTCGAGATTCAATCTCAAGCTGCTGGCTTCCCACTGCTGCTTCGGGAGCTGGACTGGCTTGTACCTGAAATTGAAACAAGAGGTTCTGAACGCGTTTGAACTCTTCTTTTCTTTCCAAGACAGGGTTTCACTACGGTGCCCTGGCAGGAACTGGCTCTGTAGACCAGGCTGGCCTTGGACTCACAGATCCACCTCTCTGTAGACCAGGCTGGCCTTGGACTCACAGATCCACCTGCCTCTGCCTCCCAAGCACTGGGATTAAAGATGTGCACCCCTCCCTTTCCCAGAATGAACGCTGACATTTCATCCTTAAAATTGGAACCTGAAATTATACTGCAGGATGTGGGGAAGGCCTGGTCAGAGACAAGTTCCCTGAGTCCTTTCTATGATATCTTTCAATCCCAAGAGCTTCCAACATCCCCATATCATCCTTACCTCCTGAGATCTCTGAGCCTGATTCAGAATTCTTTTCTCTTCTAGGAGAAGGTTAAAGATCATCTCTGCCAGCTGGGTAGGGCCATTAGGAAAAGTCTAAGTGAGGAAGACAGAAGGATCAGTCCATTTAACTACCTTAGTCACCTGCCAGTCCAGACCCTGCTCTCAGTGTCCCTAGTGCTGTCCCTCCGTCAGGGTCCCTGGCCATCTCCATATCTACCTATATCAGTCCTTTACTCTGCCAGTGACGCCCCAAGTCCAGGCTCTGACCGCCTTTCCTCGGGCCTGTCCCCTCCCTTTGTGTCTTTAGGAACAGTTCTGTACCCTACACTCAGATGAGCCCCACCCCATCAGTTCCAGCTCTTCCCTGTACCTGGATGTCCCGGCTGAATTTTCGCAAATTATGCTGCAGTAAAAAGCAATCAGGGTCTGAGCAGTGGTCCCACTGGTTCAGCTGGTCCAGGATGGTGAAGTACAGCATGTTGGCCTTGGACTGATCGTTGCCTAGCACGGCCTCCCGCCTGAGGACCAGGCACAAAAGGACTAAGATCTCTGTAAAGTTGCCCCTGCTGTGAGATCTCCCACCCTGCCCAGGACATCTTAAGCTAGGACCCTGTGGGCTCAGAAGAAAGAAACCACCTGAACTCCCGAAGCCCTCACCAGTTCTGGTCTTCAATCCAGGCAGCCAAGTGCTGTCGAACATCCATTGGCAGGGTGCTTTGAGAGTAGAGCTGGTGCAGCTGGTCCAGAAATGGGCTGTCAAGATTCTGCAGTGTCTCCCACTGCGCCATCTGGACTCTGAATGGAAAGGATATCGGTTCTCAATTTCACATTTTATGGACCCAAATCATCCAGAGTCTCATGATGCTTTATGAGTTTTGGTTTACAAAAAACCAACGAGGTGTTGGTGGCGCACGCCTCTAGTTCCAGCACTTAGGCAGAGGCAGAGGCAGAGGCAGAGGCAGAGGCAGGTGGATCTCTGTGAGTTCAAGGCCAGCCTGGTCTACAGAGAGAGTTTCAGGACAGCCAGGGCTGCTTCACAGAGAAACCCTGTCTTGAAAAAAAAAAAAAAGATATAGATTACATTGCTTCTACTCTCAGTCTTGGTTTCTGGTGGCCCATGCCTGTAATACCAACACTCAGCAGTTGGAGGCAGGAGCATTAAGGGCAGGCTCAGCTACATAGTGAATTTAAGTCAGGCTGAACTGCTGTGCATCAATTTTTGCACACTGTGAATATGCTATATTACCCTCATTGGTTAATAAAGAGCTGTCGCATAGCTGGGCAGGAAGAGACTGGTCAGGAGAGTCACACAGGGAGGATGCTGGGAAGAAGGGAAGAGTCTCAGGAGTCGGCAGCCCGATGCAGAGGAAGCAGGGCGTGTACAAAATGAGGTAACAGGACACGACCCGCATGGCAGGAAGTAAAGGAATAGAAATGGGTTAATTAAAATGTAAGACCTTGTGGAGTTTCACTTTCGGGGTGCTGTGAGTCTCCCAGTTTGGGTGCTGAGAACCAAACCCCAGTCTTCTGCAAGAGCAATGAGCTCTCTCAGCCTCTGAGCCGTCTCTCCACCCACCAAGAGCCAGTTTTTCATTTTAGACTTCTAATAGTAATCTTGAGCAACCCTTGCTGGAGATCAAACAGAGGACGTCTCTTGTGCTCTGCGAATGCTCTAGCTGAACAACATCACTACATCATCAGGCGGGTATTTCACTCTTTTTTTCTTTTTGGTTTTTTCGAGACAGGGTTTCTCTGTGTAGCCCTGGCTGTCCTGGAACTCACTCTGTAGACCAGGCTGGCCTCGAACTCACAGAGATCCACCTGTCTCTGCAAGAGTGCTGGAATCAAAGGTGTGCGCACCACCACCACCTCACCTGTATTGCTTTTAAGAAACAAAAACTTGACTGTGTGGTGGTGGTGCACGCCTTTAATCCTAGCACTTGGGAGGCAGAGGCAGGTGGATCTCTGTGAGTTTGAGACCAGCCTGGTCTAAAAGAGCTAGTTCCAGGACGGGCTCCAAAGACACACAGAGAAACCAACCCTGTCTCGAAAAACAAAAAAGAAACAAAAACTTCATTTTAAAGTCAAGATCCCCAGTTCTTCAGGAATTAAAGGGTTAGTATCCAAGCAAGGAACAAGTAAACTCTGAGATTTAAATAAGAAACAAAAACGTAAGAAAAAAAAGTTGCTGGATGTGGTGGTACACACCTTGAATCCCAGCACTGGGGAAGCAGAGGCCCAGCCTGGTCTACATAGCAAGTTCCAGGACAGGCAGGGCTACACAGAGAAACCCTGCCTCAAAACAAACGAACAAGTCTTCCTAAGTGGACTGTACTGTGGCTATAGGACCTGCAAAGTGCTTTCTCTAGCTTCACCCTCTCAAGTATCAATTTTGCACTAACTAAGATTTTCTGGAAAAAACTAGACTTTGTGTGTAACCTTAAGCAAGCAGTTTCACCTTGCAGGACTTTACAGTTTATATATATATATGTATATATTTATTTGTATATATATATAGGTATATGCATATATACATACATAACAAATAAGGATGTCCGTGTTTTCATTTATTTATTTATTTTGGTAAGGATAAAAAATTATGCAAAGGGGCTGGAAAGAAGACGGTTCGGTAGTTAAGAACACTGGCTGCAGCTCTTCCCCACTGGGTTCGATTCCCAGCACCCACATGGCAGTTCATGACCAGCACTCCAGCACGACCTCTTCTGACGAACACAAGCACTGCACGCAAGTGCACACAGACAAACCATGCTTACAAATTAAATAACAAACAGATACAGACAGATAACGCTTTGGCTTATGACAAGGGTCAAATGCTGCATGCCAGCCTTCAGGGGTTGCGGAGGAGTTTTGGAAGGAAGTCGACAGGGCTGAGAAGAGCAAAGCAGGGGTGTGACATCCCGGACAGGGGCATCACCGGAGGCAGTAGCCCTTCCCGGGATCGAACTCGCGCCTCCCTACTCCGCACACGTTCTCGGGGCCTGTACCTTTTGAGGCTCCGGTGCCGTTCCTCCCAGTGGCTCCCGCCGCAACTTCCACTCCTCCGGGTAATTCAAGAACCCCACCCCGCCCCTGACTTCGGCGGACCCAGACCGTGATCACCGCGCTACAGATCCGCCGTTCCGGGCTCTCTCTGGGGCGACCCGAGGCTCGCCCACGTCCTTCCCACGTGGCGCTCTCATTGGCGGAGTCCTGGCCCCGCCCACCGCTGGGCTGGGCGAGCTGCTCGAAACCACACCGCCGACCTCCGTGATTGGCGGAGAGGCTCCAGTTAGCGCCCGCCCCCCGTCTCCCAGAGGGGCGGAGCCCAGCTAATGTCATACCCAAGAATTCAAGCAGCTGACTTTCCCGAACCTGCACTCCCAGGAAAAGGAAACGAAACCAGAGTGTGCAGAGGCACCAAGGACTCCGCAGAATGGGTGGGTCTTGCATTTCGACTCTTTAGGTAGGGAAGGAAGAGCCGAGGTACATATTTTTGAGGATATAATGATAAATACCATAGGTTCGTGTTATCAGTTTTTAATTTCCATAACCACTGTTCAAATGAAAACTCACTACTCCCTCATTGGAAACATAAAAACTGAATTTCAAGAAAGAAATGACTGGCAAGTGATGACAATAGCCCAAACCCATCCATCCACCCAACTATGCTCCTGCTCTTGCCAGAATTTTCCATTTATTTGTTGCTCAGTTACTACCTCTTGTATGCCCAGATACTGTAGTCCTTGACCAAGGTTTGGTCCCAGTAGGAAGATGTACTTTCATCTTCTGACACCAAAGCAGTCATGGTTGTTTCTTCGAAGTCACTGCCGTCCTTCGTGATCTCTGGCTGGGGGGTGCTCGCCTCTTTCTCATCGTAATAATATCGGATCAGCTGCTGAACCCCAGCCTTCAATGCTGGCTTAAGAGCAGCACTGATCACCACACCACCTGGCCCCCCTGACGCACCCAGCATGACCATCAAAAGGTCATAACCCAGATCTATGGCCCCGTCTTGGCCTCGCTCCCTGGCCTTGTCAGAGCAGTTCTGGATGGCATAGTACAGTGCTGTGCCGAGATTGTAGTAGGTCCCCACTGCCGGCAGCAGCCCAACCACATTGTGCACACTCTGCTCCTGCTCGTTGTCACAGACCGCGTTAGGAAGCGAGCGTGGGACCCTCTTTGGACCTGGCTGCTCCCAGGCTAAGAGCTGCAAAGCGGAGGACAGGGCGTCCGCTGACACTTGCCGGTCCCGGTGTCCACCTTTCTGGAGCTCTTGGAGGTGGCGGATGAGGGCCTGTGTAGCCTCCACGCCTCCCAGGCGGTAAAGCTGAAGCTGCAGAGCCCGGACATCAGCCTGGCAGCCGGCTTCCTCCAGAGCATTCCTCAGAGCCAGGCCTACCAGGAACTTGGGGAGAGGGGGCATGTGAGTGAAGCCAGGCAGGGACTTCGGGAGCAGGACCTGGCAGGACAAGGGGTCTGAGGAGGGCGACTGGTATCCCCACGCCAAGGGAGGGGACATCGCAGAGGGACTTGCTGACTCTCCGGGTGAAATGGCGTCCACACGACACAGCAGGAGACAGCAAAGCAGCTGAATTGCCTTCACTATGAGTCGCAGGCTATGCATGGTCTGGAGCAGAGTACCCTGGAAAGGGAGAGCCCCAAAACATGCAAGCCACTTCGCTGAAGGTCTTAAAGGAGGCCCAAGATTAAGGAACCTCACCACCACCCATCACCTACCTCCAACCTTTTTTTTTTTTTTAGTAAAGGGGTAGGATATGGAAAATGCAATTCAATTTCTCCTTAGTCTCCGTCATTTCTAGGCCACAGGAACCTCCCTGCTTTGTTCCCACCCACTAATGGGAGACCCAGATTACCATACAGTCCAGTCATGGAAAAGTAAGACCACTTGGGTGGGTTTGGTAGCTCCTCCTGTTCTACCCTGTTCTACTCGGTGCCCTGAAGAGAGGAGATATTTGAGGCCGCTGAAGTGGAAGCAGATGAGGCTGCCAGTGTTGACCTTGGCCAGGGCCTTTGCAAATAAGCAGGGATAGAAAGGTTCAACCTCCCGAAACCAGCTGCTTTAACCAGGGCATTGATCTTACCCTCCAGGATGGCTGCCTGGTGTTAATGCAGGACAGGGGCAGAGTACAGGTGAGCTTGGAGACAGGCAATGGTGAGGACTGCCATGTACAGACGCTGCTAGGCTGTATTGCGAGTCACCAGGTGGTCCTTGGAGACTTCAATTCCACTAAAACATCTTCACCCATATTTTTTGGGGGGGTTCAAGACAGGGTTTCTCTGTGTAGCCCTGCCTGTCCTGGAACTAGCTCTTGTAGACAAGGTTGCTCTCAGACTCACAGAGATCCACCTGCCTCTGCCTCCCGAGTGCTGGGATTAAAGGTGCCACTACTATCCGGCCTTTTCTTCCTTTCTTTCTTCCTTCCTTCCTTTTTGTAAAAAAAGATTTATTTATTATGTATACAGTGTTCTGTCTGCACATATGCCTGCATGCCAGAAGAGGGCACAGATCGCATTACAGGTGGTTGTGAGCCACCATGTGGTTGCTGGGAATTGAACTCAGGACCTCTGGAAGAGAGGCCAGTGCTCTTAACCTCTAAGCCATCCCTCCAGTCTTTTCACCCATATTTTTTAAAAGACCTGTGGGGGTTTTTTATTTTATGTGTATAAGTGTTTTTCTGGTATGAATGTTACATATGCTACATGTATGCAGTGCCCAAGGAAGCTACAAGAGGGTGTTGGATTTCCTGGAACTGGGGTTACAGATGTTTGTAGGCTGCTATGTGGGTGCTGGGAACTGAACCTTGGTCATGTGCATAGCAGCAAGTGCTCTTAACCCAGCACTCCAGCCTTTTCACCCATATTTTAAAAAGTTATGGGACCAGCCAGGCAGACCATGGTGGCACACACCTTTAATCCCAGCAGAGGGGTCTTTGAGTTCCAGGCCAGCTTGGTCTACAGAGTGAGTTCCAGGACAGTCAGAGTTACACAGAGAAACCCTGTCTAGAAAAAAATACATATTGAGAAAAAAAAGTTATGAGAGAGCTCAGTAGTTTGGAGGGGAAAAGTTAGAAGCAAGCTGATTAACAACCCGTTTGCTGTGGGGTCTTCGTGATCTGAGTGAATATTGTTTTTGACCCCACCTTTTCCCTACCACATCATTAGGAAACCCGAATGCTATGGTTTACAAAATTGAAGGATCTGGTAGCTACAAATATTTACTGACTCTTCCTGGAGCCGACTCTGTCCTCCTAACCTTTGCCCCACGCTGACAAACTTTTTTCCTTCTGATACCTGTCCATCCTACCCTATGTCCTTGTCCTAAGGTTTTGCTAGCCCTATACATGAAACGAGATAGTTTCTCAGTATCTTTTGGAGAAGGTTATATGTCCCTCACTTCTGGCAGACCAGAGGACAGCATCCAGGGTCCTGACTCTATTAATATCTTTTTGTTTTTCAAGACACGGTTTCTCTGTGTATCTCTGGCTGTCCTGGAACTCGCTCTGTACACCAGGCTGGTCTCAAACTCACAGAGATCCACCTGCCTCTGCCTCCCGAGTGCTGGGATTAAATAAGGCATGTGCCACTGTGCCCAGTTTACCTTTTTTTTGTCATTGAATTGTAGGTTCTAAGCTAATGAAAAAAGATTTAAAAATGGCATAAACTAGCAACAAAAATGTAAAACAGTATTTATTTTTAAATACTTTATGAATAAAATATTAGTCAAAAAAGAACTCCCCACTCCCGCTCATGAAAACAACCTTACTTAAACTCAGTTGGTCACAAAAGAAAAAAAAATTCTGTGCATGGTGGAGTACATCTTTAATCCCAGCATTTAGGAGGCAGATGTAGGTGGATTTCTGTGAATTCAAAGCTAGTCTGGTCTACATAGTGAGATCCATGTCAGCCAGGGCTACCTAGTGAGATCCTGTCTCAAAAGAAAAAAAAAAGAAGAAAAGATAGGAAGGAAGGAAGGAAGGAAGGAAGGAAGGAAGGAAGGAAGGAAGGAAGGAAGGGCCAGGCAATGGTGGCGCACGCCCTTAGTTAATGCCAGCACTTGAGAGGCAGAGGCAGGTGGATCTCCAGGACTTGGAGGCCACCCTGGTCTACACATTGAACTCTAGGACAGCAAGGGCTATGTAGGTGGACTCCATCTCACCCAACTTCCAGAAAAAGGAGTTGGTTTGCACCATCGTCCTTATAATTTATTTTTCTCCTCCCTTCCATCTTTCCCTTCTCCTTCCTCTCCTCTTCCTTTCCTTTCACTCTATCATTGCTGTGGTCATCTTTGGAGACAAGATCTTGCTCTGTAGTCCAAGGTGACTTTCCCTGGCCAAAAAAAAAAAAAAATTACACAATTCCTAACAGAAGAACAAGAAAGAATGTTCTTGGGTGCCATGTCTTTCCGTGTGACAGTACAGGGTCCAGCCAGAGTGATTCTGCAGAAATTCGAGGCCAGTCTGGACTAGGGTGAGAGTCTGCCTCAAAAACAGAACACCTGAGAAAGATTATACCCACAAGCAGTACAAGGAAGGAAGTAATACTAGAGTAGAAATAGAAGGTAGAAAACAGGAGATAAAAATCAGTGAAACCAAAAGCTTACTCTTTCAAAAGTTGAACAACACACTGTTATCTACATGACCAGGAGAAAGAGTCATTGTTGCCTATTTTACTGAAATTAAAAATATTATAACAGCTGGGCAGTGGTGGCACTCACCTTTGAATCCCAGCACTCGGGAGACAGAGGCAGGTGGGTCTCTGTGAGTTCAAGGCCAGCCTGATCTATGGAGTGAGAGCCAAGACAGCCAGGGCTACACAGAGAAACCCAGTTTCTGAAGACAACAAGCAAACAAAAATGAAAAAAGAAAAATAGGAGGGATAACCTCTCTCAGCAGGTATTTAATGGCTCCAGTGGTCTTCTCATTCAGGGTGAGAGAAACACTTTTATCCACCCAAATAAAAATGTTAATACAGACCAGCATACATTTGAATCCTGAAACCGATGTTGACCATAGCATTGTTTCAAATTCTTTTGGAGAAATTGGGTTGCTTTTGGCATTTATTGCTTATTTATTTATTGGGAACATCATCATGGTGCCTGTGTAGAGCTCATAGGACAGCATGCAGGAGCTGTTTCTCTCTGTTCACTACATGGTCCTAGGGATTGAAGCGGTAATCAGGCTTGGTGACAAGTGTCTTTACTCACAATAACAACCAGTTGCTGTTATTACTTTAAAACTAGAGAGGTTGTAGTCAACACTCATCCTTTTTTCTTTTTCTTTTCTTTCTTTTCTTTTTTTTTTTTCGAGACAGGGTTTCTCTGAGTAGCTTTGAAGACAGTCCTAGAACTTGCTCTGTAGACCAGGCTGGCCTGGAACTCAAAGAGATCCACCTGCCTCTGCCTCCAGAGTCCTGGGATCAAAGGCTTTCTCCACCACGCCTTGCAACTATTTTTATTTTTAAAGACTTATTTTGTTTCGTGTGTGTGTGTGTGTGCGCGCGTGCGCGCGCGTGCGCGCGCGCGCACGCGTGTGTATGTATGTATATATGTATGCATGTATGTATGTGTGTCTGCCGGTGAGGGAGGCTGGAGAGATGGCTCAGGAGTTAAGAGCACTGACTGTTCTTCCACAGGTCCTGAGTTCAATTCCATCAACCACATGGTGGCTCACAACCAACTACAATGAACTCTGGTGGGCAGACATACATGCAGGCAGAACACTGTATACATAAATAAAAAGAATCTTTATTTAAAAAAGAAGAAAGAAAAACCACAGAGCCATCTTTTCAGTCCTATTATTTTGTTTTAGTTTTTGAGACAGAGCAGGTCTCTCTATGTAGCCCTGGCTGTCCTGGAACTCTCTCTATAGACTAGGCTGGCCTTGAATTCACAGAGATCCACCTGGCTCTGACTCCTGAATGCTGGGATTAAAGGCATGCGCCACCATACCTGGTTCCAAACATTAGACTTGAATCTATATACTATTCATGGGCCTGGGGAAATGAATTCCTGGTTAAGAGCACTGGCTGCTCTTCCAGAGGACTGGATTACAACTATTCATAACTCCAGTTCCAGGGTATTTGATATCCTCTTCTGACCTCTTCAGGCACACATGTGGTGTGCACAGACACATATTCAGGCAAAACTTCCATACATATAAAATAATAAAATGCCGGGCGTTGGTGGCGCACGCCTTTAATCCCAGCACTCGGGAGGCAGAGGCAAGCGGATCTCTGTAAGTTCGAGACCAGCCTGGACTACCAAGCGAGTTCTAGGACAGAAAAACCAAAAAAATATATTTTTTTCCATAAATCTCTGTTATTTACATAGCTATCTCTAACTAATCTGTAGATTGCTTTTGGCAATCTACAGGTTCAATGCAATCCCCATTAAAATACCAGCACAATTCTTCACAGACCTTGAAAGAACAATAATCAATTTTATATGGAAAAACAAAAGACCCAGGATAGGCAAAACAACCTTACTCAACAAAGCAACATCTGGAGGCATCACCATCCCTGACCTCAAGCTCTATTATAGAGCTATAGTCCTGAAAACAGTTTGGTATTGGCACAAAAATAGACAGGTAGACCAATGGAGTCAAATTGAAAACGATGATATTAACCCATACATGTATGAACATCTGATCTTTGACAAAGAAGCTAAAAATATACAATGGAAAAAAGAAAGCATCTTTAACAAATGGTGCTGGCATGTAGAACAATGCAGATAGAGCCATATCTATCACCATGCACAAAACTTAAGTCCAAATGGATCAAAGACCTCAACATAAATCCAGCCATACTGAACCTCTTAGAAGAGAAAGTGGGTGGTACTCTTGAAGGAATTGGTACAGGAGACAGCTTCCTGAACATAACACCGATAGCACAGACAGTGAGATCAACAATTAATAAATAGGACCTCCTGAAACTGAAAAGCTTCTGTAAGGCAAAGGACACATTCAGCAAGACAAAAAGGCAGTCCACAGAATGGGAAAAGATATTCACTAACCCCACATCTGACAGAGGGCTGATCTCCAAAATTTACAAAGAACTCAAGAAGCAAGTCTACAAAACACCAAAGGATCCAATTAAAAAGTGGGCTACAGAACTAAATAGAGAATTCTCAATAGAGGAGTCTGAAATGTCTGAGAGGCACTTGAGAAAGTGCTCAACATCCTTAGCCATCCAGGAAATGCAAATCAAAACAACTCTGAGATACCATCTCACTCCTGTCAGAATGGCTAAAATCAAAAACACCAATGATAATTTATGCTGGAGAGGATGTGGTGAAAGGGGGACACTCCTCCATTGCTGGTGGGAGTGCCAACTGGTTCAGCCACTTTGGAAATCAGTATGGAGATTCCTCAGAAAAATGGGAATAAACCTACCACAAGACCCAGCAACTCCACTCTTAGGCATATATCCAAAAGATGCCCATTCATACAACAAAGATGTCTGTTCCACTATGTTCATAGCAGCTTTATTTGTAATAGCCAGAACTTGGAAGCAACCTAGATGTCCCTCAACCGAAGAGTGGATAGAGAAAATGTGGTACATCTACACAATGGAGTACTATTCAGCAGAAAAAAACAATGGAATCATGAGATTCGCAGGCAAATGGATGACACTAGAAGAAACCATCCTGAGTGAGGTAACCCAGTCACAAAAAGAGAAACATGGCATGTACTCTCTCATATATGGATTTTAGACATAGATCTGGGGAATGCCAGCCTACAATCCTATGGCCAGAGAGTCTGGGAAACAGAAACTTTATTTAGTGGCTGATCGAAGAAGAGACAGACTCCCTCGGTTAAGTACTGAGCTGAACTCAAGAAAGCCAGTAACAGAGAGGGAGGACTGATGATCAAAGGGATTAAGACTGGGCTGGTTTAACCCCCAGAAACAGCTGACCAGACAAAGGTTAACTCTTGAATCCCAGGCATCAGCCTGGGAATCCAGCATGGGACTGATCAAGACCCCCTGAATCTGGGTGTCAGTGAGGAGGCCTAGGTAATCTATTGAGCCTTGGGTAGTAGATCAGTATTTATCCAGGGTATACAAATGGACTTTGGACTCCCATCCAACAATGAGAGATGCACTCTCACCCTGGACCCTTGGGGGAGGGTCTAGGCCCTGCTCTGGATGAAGTGACAGATTATGGACACCCCCATGGAGGGCCTCACCCTCCTTGGGAAAATGAGGGGATATTGGGGGGTGGGGTGGGGAAGGGCACGAGAGGAGGGGAGGGAAAGGGAGAGGGACCTGGAATTGACATGTGAAGCAACCTTGTTTCTAATTTAAATTTAAATTTAAAAATAAAAAAATAAATTATAAAAAAAAAGAAAAAGAAAATGATGCCCAGGGCTGGAGAGATGGCTCAGAAGTTAAGAGCACTGCCTGTCCTTCCAAGAATCTGGGTTCAAACCCCAGCACCCACATGGCAGCTCACAGCTTTATTTATAACTCCAGTTCCAAGGGATTCAACACCCTCACACAGAGACACATGCAAGCAAGACACCAACCCACATAAAAATAAATAAATCTTAGCCGGGCGGTGGTGGCGCACGCCTTTAATCCCAGCACTCGGGAGGCAGAGGCAGGCGGATCTCTGTGAGTTCGAGGCCAGCCTGGTCTACAGAGTGAGTTCCAGGACAGCCTCCAAAGCCACAGAGAAAACCCTGTCTCGAAAAACCTAAATAAATAAATAAATCTTTTTTTTTCAGAAAAGAAAGAAATGATGCCCAAATATCAGACTTCAGACCCTGGACTCACTGCAGCCACGAGAGACAAGTCCACCATTGATTTATGTAGAAGCTGAAAGATAACTAACTATCTCTTCTCTCTGTATCTTGAAGTCATGTGGGAGGAACATCAAGATAATTTAAGCCGCTCCAGCAGCTGTCAGAGCAGATCCTGGCGTCATTGCCTTGGAGACCAGCCTTAGATGCCAAAGAAAAATGAGGAGCCCAAGTAGATGGATGTAGCGTGCACCCATCAGAAGCGTCTAACTGACTTTGATTAGGATATTTAAAAAGGACCCTGTGTTCTGGCTTCTCTGGGTTCTATGCCCAGGGCTCATCGAGCTAATAACTGTTGCTTTTACTTCTCCCTTTCATCTCTCTCCAGAAAGCAGGCAAGACTTCCTAGACCCACTTCACCTAGCCAGGTACAAATTATTGTACAAATAATTCTAGGGTTGTTCTTAAGTGTGAGTGTGTGTGTGTGTGTGTTAAAAACAGGAAGTAAAACTTAGCTAGGCAATTTACAGTAAAAAGACCCAAAGAAAAGTAACCAGTTTAACCCTTGGCTAAAGTCCAGAAACATTCTTGGAACTCTTAGCAGCCTCATCCTTGCCAGAGGCCAAAGATGCCAAGAGTGTTGGGGGGTGGGGTGAGCTCTGATATCTGATCTGGTTCCTAAATGATTCTAGTGTCACCTCTTTCGTCTCTGAGAGAAAACACTTCCTGGTCGAGAGACTAGAATTGCAGGTCTGGGAGGGATCTAACACTTGGGTTGGACCAGGTCAATTACTGGCCAAGGGATTCAGAAAGCAGGCTCAACTTAAGATGTGCTGAAGAAATAAATGTGTGAAGCTTCAGTAGCACAAACACTGAAATCGGAACGATATGAAGATCAGCATGACCCTTGTTCAAGATGACAGGCAAATTCGTGAAGCATTCCATATTTGTATTTGGCTCTGGTGGCATTGTCTGTGACATCTGACCCGGCCCTCCTCTGCTTACAGCAGAACGGGGCCCACTGTGCTGTCTGTATTAACAGTCCAGGAATTTGATATCTGGGACTCAGGAGCCCCGCCAGATGAGGCTGTCCCTTGGGGAAAGATCTGAATGGAAACCAGTAAAAGGTGACTCTGGCGGTCTTCTCTACTGGTGACTGCGACCGTTACCCAAGAAGGCAGGTCCTTCACAGCTGAGGAGAATGAGAACGAGGAGATAGTTACAGACCCGGGGTTCCCACCCCTCTTTTTGTCAAGTTTACAGCAGCACACCATTTGGTCAGCCAGGGCTATGTAGAGAGACCCCGTCTCAAAACAACAACAACAAAAACAACAAAAAGCAGGACAGTGGTGGTCCTGGCCTTTGATCCCAGCACTAGGGAGGCAGAGACAGGTGGATCTCTGTGAGTTCCAAGCCAGCCTGCTCTACAGAGTGAGTTCCAGGACAGCCAGGGCTACACAGAGAAACCCTGTCTTGAAAAACAAAAAGCAAGCAAGAAAGAAAAGAAGAAACTAGCCAGTCACAATGGTGAAGCCAGGCCCTATCGAAAGGGGAAAAGCACAGCGGCCACCTGTGCTAGAATAACAAGCAAGCGCACTTCCTGTTCCTGTTCTCTTCTGCTTTCATACACACAGCGCCCTTCTGACCAGGAGTTCTGCCTTGTCAAGACACTTCAACTGAAATGGTGGGTTCTTTCTTTGTGATTCCAAACTTATTTCTGACAGGTCACAGAAATACATGCAGACTAAATACTCAAACACATAAGGGTTTTGGTTTTAGGTTTTTGTTTTTTGTTTCGTTTTGTTTTTTGGCTTTTTCAAGGGTGTCTTTTTTTTAAGTGATGCATTTATTTATTTATTTATTTTTTAAAGATTTATTCATTTATTATGTACACAGTGTTCTGCCTGCAGGCCAGAAGAGAGCACTGAATCACAGTATAGATGGTTGTGAGCCACCATGTGGCCCGTGGGAATTGAACTCAGGACTTCTGGAAGAGCAGCTAGTACTCTTAACCTCTGAGCCATCTCTTCAGCCCGATGCATTTATTTTTATTTTCTGTGCATATTGTCTGCATGTATGTCTGTGTGAGGCTGCCAGATCCCCTTGAACAAGACTTACAGACAGGTCAGGCATCTAGAAGAGTCCAGAACAGAGAGAGGAAGAAGCAGACTGGACACGGCCAGCAGAGTGGAGTTGGCAGGGCTGTGAGAGGGGAGAAAACATAGTGATAACAGCAGGGTTGTAAAGAGAATGAGTAGCTAGGGGGAGTTTAGGGTAGGGGAGGAGGTGAGAAGGCCTAGGAGGCCAGCATGGACTCTGAGATGTGTAACAGGTACTAGGGGAGCCTGGGAGCCAGCTTGTGTTTTGGGAAGCTGATAGGTACCACAGGTAGCCATGTGTCTCTTCTGCCTGTGATCAGGGAAGTGACCTCTTTTAGTAGAGGGGAACCAGCTTTACAAGTTCCTGAAGAATGCTGGCTTTTTATCTAACTGCCGGAAATCCTCCTTTAACCAGGTTGAGCCCATTTCTGGATATTTGGACTGCCTTTTAGTTTGGGGAATTGGAATTTCCTTTGGACCTGACAATAACAATAAATAAATAATAAGTAAGTATAAATAAATTCAAAAGATGGTCATATATTATGTGTGTATATTTTATTGTCTATGTATGCATATCCAAGACAAGGTCTTGCACATAGTCCGGCAGCCCAGGGAGGCCTCAGAGTTCTTGGTGCTGAGACTACGGGTGTATGCTATGACACTGGGTAACTCTACAGTGATGTTTTGAAAATTAACTAAAAACAGGAAGTGAAAAAGTTTAAAATTGTAAAAGTTTTTCTTCGAATGAAGAGGTAAAATTTTAGATTGTATAGATTTACAAGATCAGAAATAGATTAAACACACTCACACACAGGTGCACACAGGTGCGCACACACACACACACACACACACACACACACACACACACGCCCAAGCATAGAAAGCTGGTGGCCCCCAAATCCCAGAGTGGGTGGTTTAAACAGCACAGATTTATTTCTCACACTTTTTTGAGGTTAGCACAAAATCAAGGTGTGGTTTCTACCCTGCCTACAATGTGTGCCACCCTGGCTGGGTAAGGAATTTGAGAACAGGATCTGATATAAAGATCCCCAGAAATGAGGGAAAAGGACCACGTCTTAATCTGGGGTCTGTAAGACATGGCAGTAAATACATCAGGAGGCACGGATGGCAAGCCAGGAGCCTAGGGTGAGGCCTACCTGGAGCAGACCTTGCTGTATGGACAACTGGTCTCAAACTGCTTCCTGAGCTGTGGTCTGAGGAGCACCAAGGGTACAACTGAGACAATGGCTGTCCCTTTGTCATAAAGTCCCGATGGCAAACCAAGTTAATTCGACTAACGTTAGCCCTGGGAGCAATGAGTTTGTTAGAGCTACTTACAGAGTGTGGGTAAGTGATTAGGAGCAGGAGTATGGGTGACCCTAAGGTGCCGGTGATGGCTTCCAACCACTGCTGGGATGGGCCCCCTTCTCCAGTGCTCCCAGTTTATACACGCTAGCCCCTCCCTGAGGCCTTGAGGCAGAGTTGCCTGTGATTGGCTGGGAGAAGTGGTGGGATACTCAGATGAGGACCCAGGGGCTTCTGTCCCTCTCTCTGTGAGGAGAGGTCAAACATCAGCAAGCCCAGCAACTGTGGTGCCTCTTGCGAGCAGGCCCCAGTGAACTGAGAACCGCAGCGGGTTGACTCAGAAAAGAGCCTGGTACACCTCAACCATCAACCCTCATCTTTTGTTCCTTTTAGATGGGCTCACAAAATGAGAATGAGAAGGAATGCAAGATGACTCAACAGATAAAAGAGCTTGCCATGAAACCCAGGGACCCAAATTTGATCACCAGAACCCACCGTGGAATGAGAGCCCACGAACATTGTTCTCCGACCTTCACACACATCTGACCTCTGCGTGTGCTGAGTGCCCACTCACGTACATTGTAACACGCACACACGTAAATAATTGAGAAATGAGAATGACAGGTGCTCAATTTGGGGTTCTCATTCCACGTCACCAGACTTTCCCAAATCCCTGTACAGTCAGTGAAAACTGACACAGGAGTGTAGACTCATCTAGTTCCCTGTCCCATGAACAGGGGAGACGGTTGGTGTTTTTGTTTGCTTCTTTTTTGTTTTTCGAGACAGGGTTTCTCTTTTTGGAGGCTGTCCTGGAACTCGCTCTGTAGACCAGGCTGGCCTCGAACTCACAGAGATCCTTCTGCCTCTGCCTCCCCAGTGCTGGGATTAAAGGCGTGTGCCACCAACACCTGGTTGTTTCACTACAAATATTTGCCCATTTGTACTGACTGTTCAAACCTTTGGCCTCAGGAGATATTGGCATGTACTACAAGTCCCAGCAAGTCCATCTTCAGATCACAAAAGGAGCCAGGAAATCCAGAGTCAAGAAAGTCTTGAAGCCAGGCAAGAAGCTGCAGCCTGAGAGGCAAGAGAGTCACTATGAGCTCAAGGCCAGCATGAACTACGCAGTGAACACTGGGCATGCTGGAGCTGTGAATTCGTCTTAACCCCCCTTAAAGGCAACAAAACAGTGATTCCAATACAGAAGCAGCCTTTTCTTTCTCTTGCCAGTTTAAGAATTAACGTAAGTAGAGTGTGGTGGTGGTTTAGTAGTGGACTAGTTGTCTAGTATTCCTGAGGCCCTGGGTTCAACCCCCAACACCACAAAAACAATTATGGTGGCATGGGCCTATAATCCTAGCACTTGGAAGGCTGAGTTAGGAGTTCCACAAATTTGAGGCCAGCCTGGGCTACATAGTGAGTACAGGGGCTACATAGCAAAACTGTCCCAAAATATCACAACAAATCCAGACATGCTTTTTTTTTGGCTTTTGAGACAGGGTTTCTCTGTGTTATTTTAGAGGCTGTCCTGGAACCCGCTCTGTAGACCGCCTGGTGTGTCACATGCTTTTAATCCCAGTACTTGAAGGCAAAGGAGGGTGGATCTCTGAGTTCCAGGCCAGCCAGGGTTGCACAGCCAGGGTTGTCTCAAAAACAAAACAGAAGAACCCCCCACCTTAAAACTAATGACAATGAGCACAACCAAGGTACAGCATTCACTTGGGGAATTAGAAAGTGCTTCGTAGGGTGAGGCGAGAAACTGCCATGCCCATAGTGTTTAAGAGCAGAAAGATGTATCTGCCCACAGGGCCAAAGGAAGGGAAGCGTCAACCATGAAATCCGCCAGCATCCAGCTCCATGCTATGCCAGGTCTCTGTGTACAGACCTACCACCGGGCTGTGAGAAAGTCCACGTGGTGCCTGTGAGGCCTCGTCTATCCAAAATAAGCCCAAAAAATTGTTGAGTAGAAGACCCATGAAAACGCGTTTCAGAAGGATGGCAAGCGGAGCTACGAAGCATGCCTGATCTTCTATGGCGATTGTGGCATTCTCAGCTTCTGCTCTTTTTATCATCCTATCTGCAGTCAAATGCTCCCAGGACTCCATGGTGCACTTCTGGGTGACACTGACCGCAGAAGCCTTGAACTCTTTTTCCCCATCGATGGAAGGGAGCTTCTTGGAAAGTTCATTGAGCAGCGATGCAGTTTCGTAGATCACCCATCCATGTTCAAAGGTGCATGCCTCAGGCAGGGTAACTGAGCGCTGGACCCTCTTCAGTTCCCCAGGGAAGCCTCCCCGCCCCAGGTCCCTCAGAATGGCTTCATTATTGCTAATTCCTTCCTCCTTGCTGCGCTTCTGACTTGAGGATCAGGGTTTCAGTGCTGCAGATAGTAGGCCTCCTTAGGGCAACCGATGTCCTCCAGGGCCAGTCTGGCTGCTAAGAGGGACCAGTACTCAGATAAGGGGGCTAAGGAGGGCGTTGTGTACAAGAGGTCCTGGCAGGTGCCAGGGGCTGGAGAAGGGATCTGCCTGGAGAGCACATTAGATGTACGCTCAGTCTCTGTGACAGCCGGCTGAGGGGGCAGGGCGCCATTCTGGGTATTCCTCGGAAAGGCGGTCACTGGGGACAGTAAGACACAGCCAAGGAGCAATGCAGCCTGGACCATGGTGGGCCAGCTGTCGGGAAAGAGAAGGACTCAGATGAGGAGGTGGGAAGAATGCCCAAGATGGACAGGTGCCAAGAACGGACAGAGATTGGAAGAAAACTTGGAGACTTCAATGTCCCTGTTTTTACCACCTTAAAGGCTGTCTGTCCCTCTCACCCGTCCTGCAAGCAGCAGCCAGAGGAATGAGGTGGTCCTCTGTTTTAGTTGGAGCGGCTGCCTTTAGATCGAATGACTGGAAATGAACATTCTCAAATATTTACCACCTTTCTGGGCTAGACTTTGTCCAACCAGCTATTGCCTCATCCTGACAGACAGGGCCTCTTCCTTTGTGGCTCTGTTCTCTAGACCATCGTCCAGTCAACCTAAGCACTTAGTTAGTCACAAACCAGACCAGGTAAAACTCCTCTGTATCTTCTGGGAAACCGAAGTTTGTTTTCTCTCTTTCAAGTCAGTCTTCTTTGTCCTGGCTGGCTGGCAATTCCATTAAGTAGTGAATGACGATCTTGAACTTCTGAACCTCAGCTCTCCCTTCCCTAGTACTGGGATTTACAGGTATGTGCTACCATGTGCAGTGTATGTAGCACTGGGAATCAAACCCAAGGATACATGCACGTTATGAAAACAAGCTACCACTGGGCTACTCTCCCAGTCCATAACAGGTCTTACGTTAGAGACTTACCAATCACAAGTTTGAAAACAGAATCTGCCAGCAAATCAAACTGTTTCAGAACAGCCTTTTGGGTTTTACTTAAAAAAATCCTTATTTTTACTTTTAATTACATGGACACATGTGCACAGGTGAAGATGCCCATACAGGCTGGACAAGCTAGAGCTACAGGTGTCGTGAGCCACCTGGTGTGTTGTGAGGACTCAACACTCCAGGCCTCTGGAGAAGTGGTGCATGTTCTTGGATGCTGTGCCATCTCCCCGGCTCCTGCTTCCTTTTTTGTTGTGTTTGAGACAAGATGTGTAGCCCTGGCTCTCTTGCAACTCTGTAGATGAGGCTGGCCTTGAACTCAGAGAGATCTCTCTGCATCCGTCTCCCGAGTGATGGAATTGCAGATGTGAGCCACCATGCCTGGCTATTTGTTTCCTTTTAACACTCTGTAACCCACCGCTGGCCTGACTTCTACGTAGTCTAGGTAACCTTGCTTCAGTCTGCAGAATGCTAAGATACAGGCACGAGCCACCACACCTGATTTGTTAGGACAGGGTCTCAGACACAGTGGGTAAAAGGCACTTGTTAGAACAAGCCTGACAACCCGAGTTCAGTCACTAGCACCGGGTAATAAAAAGTATGAAAAAAAAAGCTGAGGGGTGGTGGAGGTGGAGCATGTCTTTAATCCCAGCACTTGGGAGGCAGAGGCAGTCGGATCTCAGGTAGTTTGAGGCCAGCCTGGTCTAAAAATCGAGTTCCAGGACAGCCAGAGCTGTTACACAAAGAAATCGTGTCTCCAAAAAAAAAAAAGTTTGAAAAAAATATTGTATGAAATTTCCAAAAAATATTTAAAAATTTAATTATGCATATGGGTATTTTACCTGCATGAACGTCTGTGCACCACATGCACGAAATCCCCACCAGAACCAGAAGGCTTCAGATCCCCTGGAGCTGGACTTAGACGATTGTGAACTACCATGTAGGTGCTGGGAATCAAACCCAGGCCCTTTGGGAGAGCAACCATTGAGCCATCTCTTAAGCTCCTATAAATGTAAAAAGAAGCCTAGGAAGAGTGTGAAGACTACATTAAAATCAGAAGGGTTTACCTCAGACTTCCTGTGTCAAGGCTGGCCTTGAATCCCTAAGCATCCTGCCTCCCATCTCTCAAATGCTGGGGCTACTGGTGTAAACCACCATCCCTTGCTAAAGAGTAGACTAAATAAAAGACTAGCAATGTCATGTGAATGAGAAACTCTGGTATGTTATAAAGAGGTATTTGACCTCCACTCATTTTCTTGTTTGCTTTTTCAGATAGGGTTTCTCTGTGGCTTTGGAGGCTGTTCTGGAACTTGGCTCTTGTAGGCCAGGTTGGTCTTGAACTCACGGAGATCTGCCTGCCTCTGCCTCCTGAGCGCTGGGATTAAAGGCGTGTGCCACCAATACCCCCATTCCATTTTCTAACACAAAACCCCTTATAATCTGCTGAGGCATGCTAAAATGGGAACCAACCGAGAGGTGAGAGGGCAAGAACGCTCAATCCGACCTCACCCAACTTCACAAGGGAGTAAGAGAGGCCAGCTTTGATAAAGCAGTGGTCAACGACTGTGGTTAATCATGCTGACGTCATGGGTTTCATAACTCCCCTGAAGGCCAGAGTTCTGAGGCAGCAGAGCACAGCCGGATCACAATGGGAATCGGACAGGATAGTACTTGTGGGAGAAAAACAAAAAGCAAACAAACCAGTGCGTAGCTGGGAAGTGAAAGGCTCAGGACTGAGAGAAGTCTGGGCAGAGCCAGACCTGGAAACTTCACTTTCTTTTTTTGAGACAGGGCTTCTCTGTGTAGTTCTGGCTGTCCTGGAATTGCTCTGTAGACCAAGCTGGCCTCTCTCACAGAGATCTGCCTGCCTGTTGAGATTAAAGGCGTGCCCCACCATCCTGGATGGAGCCCTTGGATCTTAACAGCCATTTTCTGAATCTTACCTTCAGCCTGGTTCCCCCGGAGTCGGGGCAGAAAGCTAGCTTCCAGGGCTAAGCACAGGCCCTTTGTTCACCCGGATCACCCGCTCTTCAATCCACCCACGGCTTTCTTGCCATCTTACGTCCTTTCCTTGGCCTGACACTGGCAAACCGGTTTAAACTCTAGCTTCTGCTTCCCCAGTGCACACACGTTCAGATCCATTCTCAGGGTTGGAGACATGCTTCATGGGTAGTAGGACCCCAGTTCAGTTGGGTCTTAGTCAGTGTTCTATTGTTATCAAGAGACACCATGACCACGGCAACTCTTATAAAGGAAAACTTTTTTTTTTTTTTTGGTTTTTTTTTTCGAAACAGGGTTTCTCTGTGGCTTTGGAGGCTGTCCTGGAACTGGCTCTGTAGACCAGGCTGGCCTCAAACTCACAGAGATCCGCCTGCCTCTGCCTCCCAAGTGCTGGGATTAAAGGCGTGCGCCACCAATGCCCAGCGGAAAACTTTTTTTATAAAGATATATTTATTTATTATGTATACAGAGTTCTGCCTGCATGTATCCCTGCAGGCCAGAAGAGGGCACCAGATCTCATTACAGATGGTTGTGAGCCACCGTGTGGTTGCTGGGAATTGAACTCAGGACCTCTGGAAGAGCAGTCAGTGCTCTTAACCTCTGAGCCAACTCTCCAGCCCCTGAAATAATTTTTTAAAGATTTATTCTCAATGGTTTTTGTCTGGTTGGTTTTGTTTTCTGCTGTTGTTTTTAAGGTAGTTTCACTCATTTGTCCAGGATGGCCTCAAATTCAGGATCTTATGCCAGCCTCATGAGGAGCTGAACCGACGGCCACACGCACCCCATGGCCAGCAAGACAAAGCTGCTTGGGGTAACACTGCTTTTGTTTATTTGGGAACGGCAGAAGAAAAGAGAAGTTTCTCTTTTTAAAATTACACTTATTGGGTCCAGCGTGATGGTATAACCCCCTTCTCCTCCTCCTTGTAATCTGAAATGATTTCAACTCTAACTCTTAAATTTCTTCCAAAGACACAACAGACACCTGGCTGGTGAACCCTAAGTCACAAAATATATCAATATCAGCAACTTTCTTTTTTTTTTTTTTGGTTTTTCAAGACAGGGTTTCTGTATATCTCTGTGCCTGTCCTGGTACTCACTCTGTAGACCATGCAGGCTGGCCTGGAACTCATAAAGATCCATCTGCCTCTGCCTCCCAAGTGCTGGGATTAAAGGTGTGCGCCACCACTGCCCGGCATGATCAACTTTTAATTTTATGTTTAATATGAAACACAAATCAAGGTTTGTCATCTTGAGAGTAGTGCATCCCAACAGTACCTCGACTGCAGGAACGGGCTCAATCTGTGCCCAGGGATCAACCACTGGAAAGAAGATGAGGGTGTGAACCCCCATGCACTTATGAAGCCCTGTGTCTGAGGTTGAGACCCGCCTCCTGCAGACAGTCACAGAGAGGAGTACGGGCTGCCCTGGCTATTTCCTTTACGGCTCGTTTCCTAAGAGACCAGCGGTGCCCACTGATGAAACTGGAGTAGGCCTGACTGCGGAGGCGCAGGACTCCTGGGCCGTCAGCGAGGAAAGACCGAGTCAATGCCAGTGCAGCAGCTGCCGAGCCTTCCACCTGCGACTGGCTCCAGCGCGAGGCACCGGCTTCTCAGTCATCATCATCATCATCCTGTATTTGAAACCGTTTCTTCTTGTGGAGTACTGGAGTTCTCAGCTCTGGTGCTGTGGAGAGACAGGTGAGAGGCAGGAAGAGAAACGTCTAAGTATGTAAAGTGACAAGGCAAATGGCAGTCTTCAGGCTGGGGAGCAGAAGAAGCAGGCCACAGTCAGGGTCCCTACCTTGCCCCCTGCCCTCGGCACCTTCTTCATCACTGTCCAGCAGTTCTCGCTTCTTGGACACTCTTTTCCACTCTTTGTCCCCAGAGGTCTCTTCCTCCGAAGTGACTGAAAGACACAGAAATTAAGGAACTAGGTCTGCATTATCTTAAAACACCTTACCAGCCCTCACACCCCCATAAATCAAGAGGTGAGCGGTGACACTTTACCTTCTGGAGACACCCGGCCTGCTTTCTTCTTACGGGCTGACAAGAGAGCTCTCAGGGCCTTGGCTCGGTGCTCCTTACTGGGACGGTGCTCCTCA